TGTTATGATATTCTTGTGTTTCATTAACTCTTTGGACTTTTAAATTCATTTATGTAATTATTTTTTGAGAAAGAAGAGCAGTGGTTGGTATGGGTGAATGGTTTTGTGAATGTGGAGGCAGGATTGCTCTAACTAGATTCGTGATCTCCTTCTTCAGGTAGACAGTCATCTTCCTTTGCATGTTCAAAAATAGCAGATGAGGGGCCCTTAATTCAAACCCAATAATGCAAAAAAAAAAAAAAGGTGATGGGAACACACCTTGGGTGGAAGATTTGCATTATAGTTTACAATAAGCATTATTTACTCTAGTTCACATAGAAGAGTGAGTCAGAGTGACTCAGTGATTTGGGCTGATTCCTTGTGGTTTTCTCTGAAGGAATGACCTGATCTGAAGCAAAAGAACTCCCAGGCATGTAAACAGTCATTTAAAAGAGCCACAGCCCCTCCCCTCAGCACAGGTGATTGTCCCTAAAAGTTCCTGCCTGGCAGCCAACAAGATGACCTTGAGGGTACTAATAAGCACCATGATAGGGTCTTGCTATGTAGCCCAGGTTGGTCTTGAACTCTGAATTGTCCTGCCTCTGCCTCTTGAGTGCTGGGATTACAAGCATGAAGCACCATTCCTGCCCCAGCACAATTGTTTTAATGAGTCCCATGGTCTTGCGCAGGCTATGAAACATGCCTCTTACTCACTTTCTCTCTCTTTCTTTCATTCCCTCCCTCCCTCCGTCCCTCTCTTCCTTCCTCCTTGCCTCTTTTCCTTCCTTTTTTGTCAGAGTCTTACTATATAGCCCAGGCTATTCTCAAACTTGTGATCCTCCTGCCTCAGCCTCCTGAATGCTGGAATTACGGGTGTCACCACCATGTCCAGCTTATCCTGTTCTTTTGAAGCTGTCACTGTGAGAGGTCTTGGTTTGAGCTCTTGCTAAGCTAGGGAAGGAGGCAGGGTCTAGAAATACTATTGTATGAGTATTTTTTGTCTTCTTGAGATTTAGAGGAGAAAAATGATATATTTTGCTTTGATAGTAAAATTGAAGAAGGAAAAACAGCACAGGTGAGAATAGGAAAGAGTCCAACTTTCTGGCAAAATCAGATAGCACTGAATTCAGAAGAAAGAGCCCTGGACACCTTGATAAAATGCACTTTTTTTCTCTGATATATGCTGAAAGCTTGATAAACTGTAAGGGTTTGTTTGTTTTGTTCAGTACTGGGGTTTGAACTCAGGATGTCGCTCTTGCTAGGTGGATGCTCTATCTCTTGAGCCATGCCTCCAGCCCGACTCTGAGGTTTTTGATGTGGAGGTCAATGCTGTTACTGCTGCTGTTGTGTTTGGAGAAGTTAATGTTTGTTATTTTTCAAGGATTACTGAGCCCTGATACGTGCCGAATGCTTAGAATACACTATTTCCTTTAGTCTTGGCCACAACAAGCCCTGACAGTGATAGCTGGGTCTGTAGTAGGTGATGAAACTGGAGGCTCAGAGAGGTGAAATCACTTTCTCAAGGTCACACAGCTAATGAATGGCTTGAATTCACATTGACTTATTCATTTACAGAATCAATTGCTCCATCACTTGTCAGGTGCTCACTGAGGGTGCTGTGTCAGCCATTGTTATTAGTTGCAAGCAACAGGAACCAACTCTGAGTGGATTTTAGCAGAAGAGAAATTTATTAGGGGTAAATTTGATCAAAGTACATTATATGCATGTATGGAAATATCACAATGACTCCTTTGTACAATTAATATATACTAATTGAAAAAAACAAAGGTAGAACTGCCATATGATCCAGAGATGCTGCTTCTGGGCATCTACCCAAAGGAACATAAGACACCTCTCCTTATGGTGTAGAGACACCTGTATATCGATGTTCATTGCAGCACTAGACACAATAGCCGGACTTTGGAAACAAGCCAGGTGTCCTACAACTGAAGAATGGATCAAGAAAATGTTGTATATATACACAATAGAGTATTACTCAGCCATAAGTAATGACACCATGTGCTTTGAAGGTAAATGGATGCAACTGGAGGACATCATGTTAAATGAAGTAAACCAGGCTCAGATAGACAAAGGCCACATGCTTTCTCTCATACATGGAAGATAGATTCAAAAGATAAACATATACACACAAAAAACAAGCATGATCACATACAAACTCATATGTAGAACATGTCTGTAATAGTAGAACTGTTCTATGGAACTCAGGAAAGGAGGGAAAGAAAAAGAATGATAGAGCACAAACAATATCACAAAACATAACATCAGTGAAGGTAGAGGATGTAACAATATGTATTGAAAACTTGAAAAATGGGGGTGGCTGAGAGGGAAGGGGTAAGGGAAAGCAATGGAAGGGGTTGAATGGACCAAAGTAAAGCACACTCACAACGGCGACACACTGAGAAACCCCTTTGAACATCGATTTAAATATTAATAACAAGAGACAGTACTGTATTTGTGGGAGAGAGGAGGATGAATGAAGGAGATTAAGGTGGGGGAATATGGTGGATGGACTTCATATGCTTATGTGAAATAGAACAATGAAAACTCTTGCAACTGCTTTAAGTGGGGCAGATTGGGGGTTGCGGGGGAGAGATGGTGGGGTGATCTATTTGGAATTGTCACAATGAATACCCCCTGTCTAATGAATATATCCTAATTAAAAAAAAGTTTAAAAGAAAGAAACAAGAGAAATTTATTGAAGGGATTCTGGGTTGCTCACAGAAATGCCAGGGGAGTGACCTGTGGAAGCTTCCAACAGGGGCTACGGTCAGAACATGGTCGCCTCTGCTGCCACAACCCTACCTGCGATGTTCATTCACTGTGTGGGACACTGGGTGCTGCTGCCAACAGCACCTCCTTCTCCTCCATATTGTTGTAAACACCACTGTCTCCAGGGGCTCCATGGTCTCTACCTCCTGCGTCACAAGCTCTGGACTCTAAGCCTCTGATGAAGGGCGTGAGCACGTGTGAGTCTGCTCCAGGGCTGATGGGGGAAGAGCGGGAGGACACATTTCCTGCCCCTGAATCTTCTCTCTCCGGAGGTCAGCTCTGCTCCAAAGACCCATATGGTGGGTCTCCAAATGTGCTAAAGAGGTCCAAGTGCTGGATACTCAAAAGAACGACAAATGGTGGCTTGTACATCTGCTCAGTGTGTCTGACACTGTTAGGCATACAAAGATGAGTTAGACCTGGAACTGAACCTGCTGCTTCAGAGACCTGATAGGCTCTGCATTCTCTTCCAACTTCCAACGTGTGTATTTTTTTTTTTTTTCGGTGGGACTGGGGTTTGAATTCAGGGCTTTGTGCTTGCAAAGCAGGTGCTCTACTGCTTGAGCCACCTCCAATCCATTTTGCTCTGGTTATTTTGGAGGTGGAGGTCTCACAAACTATTTGCCTAGTCTGGCTTTGAACCTTGATCCTCCCGGTCTCATCCTCCCAAGTACCTAGGATTACAGGCGTGAGTCATGGGTGCCTGGCTTAGCACCATAAGTTTGCAGATCTCCCTTACTCTAATTGTTTCATTAGCTCCCCAACAGCCATGTAGTGTAGACAGAGCTGATTTCTTTTTATATTTGCAGTGCTCAGGATTGAACTTGAACCCAGGGCCTTGTGCCTGCTAAGTTTGTACTCTATCACTGAGCCACACCCCCAGCTATTGCTATTTTATATTTGAGGAACTAGAGTTAGGTGATGAGCCCAAGGTCTTACCATTAATGAGTTGCAGAGCTGGAACTTAAGCCTGACTTCTAACTCCAGGCCATGCTCTGGGTAACTAGCGGAAAGACGTGCACAAATGCCATGCTTTATCCGTTTCTTCAGATCTTACCACTCCTTAAATCAGTTTGCATTTTATAATCCATGGCATGCCGTAGTTTAATTGGCAGATTTTTCTTTCTTTCTTCTTTTTTTTTTTTTGGTAGGACTGGAGTTTGAACTTAGGTCTTTACACTTGTTAGGCAGACACTCTACTACTTGAGTCATGAGTCCAGCCCTTTGACAGATTTTTAAAAAATCCTTGTTGGTATATAAAATAATGGAGCATCTTCAACTGATGAAAATCTTAAATTCATTAGAATGCACTAAGATAGTAGGTAAAAGTCTGGGAGTGTAGCTTAGTGGTAGAGTGCTTGCCTAGCATGTGGGAGGCCCTGGGTTCCATCCCTAGTGTGAATGGAATGGGGACAGAAAGTGACAAGGGACATAGAGGAGACCTGAGAGATCAGTGAAGGCATTGCACAGGCCCCCAGTCCCTTACCTGCAACTCTGAACTCCAAAAGGCTCTGAGAACTAAGTGTTCTTCAAGTTTGACATCAAAACTTACTTGGCAGCAAAACCTGACTTGAACTGATGTTAAGTAATTTATAGCCTTCATTCTACTTACTGCAAAGATCAATATGTTTAGCTGAAGAAAGATTGAAATTTGGTAAAGGAAATGTCCCAGTCTCTGGCAGGGAGGTGGAGAAAAAGGGGTTACTTAATTTTGAGTTCTCAGACAGCATTGTTTTTGTAAAAGTCTGCCTCTCAAACCACATCTGGCGCCAAGGGTCAAGGCTGAACTGGGGCCTGATTGGTGGATAGAACTTAGATGTTTGTCTATGTATAAGTCATGATCCAACCATTAAAGTTGCCTTGAAGGCAAGGATGAGCCCCTGCTTTTGACAATTAATTCGTGATTCATACATGGGAGAGGGTTGGGCTTTCTGAGTTTGGCTTTACCTCCTTAGTATCAACTCTCTCCTTTTCCTACAAATCACCTGACTTCCCCGAACTCTGAAACACACCCTTTGGCTGAAAAAGAGTGTTAGGCAATTGGTGAAATTCCCTATTTCTCCTTTCTCTCCCTGGAGCTCTGGAAAGAGGAATCTCTGGCCTGGGAGAAAGATGCAGTTCTGGTTTCAAAAGCAGAGGGAGCTCCAAGACCAAGGCTGAGTTAGCCTTTTCCTGTGTCATGGTCTCCCAGCCCCTCTTTGTTTTGATAAGGGAATTTCCGACATGCACACTTGGGTAAGGAATCTTAGGAACAGAACCAGGACAGAGAGGTCGGCCGGAGGTTCCTGCAGAGGAAGCGGGTCCTGGGAGCCAGCAGGGTCGCCACACATGACCACTGGCAGGAGAAGGGACTGACCCACTTGTTCCCATCAGCTGCTGAAGGTAAAAACTTCAAAAATGAAGAGCAGAGATTTCATGGAAAAAAGAAAGGCAGAGAACTTTATGGAGGAAGGTTTGGGGCAAAGATGGAGGGCTGGAAAGATTAGTATTAAGAAAAGGCACAACATAGACAAACTATTTTTCATAGACTCACCCCATCCATAGCCGTGTCACTCCACCACATACCGTTGTCAGGATTAAAAGCAATTTTGGAAATCCCTCCTAGAGAGGCAGAGGCAAGGAGATGGAAAGTTCTAGGGCAGCTGGGGCAAGGTTAGTGAGGCCCTACCTCAAAAATAAAATAAAAACAAAAGCCTGGGGGCATAGCTCAAGTGGTAAGTTGCTGGTCTAGGAAGTGTGAGGCCCTGTGTCCAATCCCCAATACCACAAAAAAAGAAAGAAAAATAAAGAGCGATTTTGGCAAGACTTTTCTAGAAACTGTGGGAAGATAACTTGCCTTTGATTATTTACTTTTTAAAAAAGTTTTTTGGCCGTATTGGGGTTTGAAATCAGGGCCTTAAGCCTGCTAGGCAGTTGGTCTACTACCTGAGCCCTAGCCCTAGCCATTCTTGTTTTTTAAATAAAGAACAAAATAAATAGACCAACCCTGGAAGATTAATGTAGGAAATTTGTTTTCCACCACTTTTCCTTTTATTTCTTGTCATTCAGCTGCTTTTCTCCTTCCTGGTGCAGTCCTGTCTCAATGGGGGCTCTTTTGCCTCTCAGACCACTTCCTCTAGGGTCCCTGCCCTCCTCTATGGGAATAAAGAAGCTTGTTCCTCCACCTGAGGCTATTGGGGCATCAACAGAAGCTTCTGCAAGAGCAAGCGCAGTAAAGAGGGTGGCTTGAGTGATAAGGGGTCTCTGTAAAAGAGAAGGGAACTGTCCTCTCTGGATTGTCAGGGCAGGTGGACTCCTGAATACCCAGGTGGAAATGAGGATATTGTTCTGTGAGGGTAGGAGAGAGGCTAATGATGGGGGTTTCAGGGGTGGAGGAGGGAGAACAGAATTAAAAACTGGACAAACTACTTATGCCTTTGGAGAAAGATTGGAAGACAGTCCAGAGAAGCAATGCAAGAAAGTTAAGATTTAGTTCCAGTTTAGAAAATTAGTTAAAGTTGACCAGGGAGGGCATGAGAGGGCAGGTGTCAAATGGTGATGATTGAACCTATGTGTTATTCTTACATTGAACCCCAGGTGACTCCTCACCAAAGCAGGTGCCTGTGTTTGTCAGACAAAGACTGCCAGACCTGCCACCCCTTTAGCTCCAAAGTCCAGAGGTGCAGAGAGGCAGGACAAGAGACATGGACAAATCTCCAGAGATGTGGTAAGTAATCAGGGATCTCCAGGGATATGTGGGAGAATGGACTACATTCCTTTCATCTCCTCAAGAAAGGGGCTCAGATCCAAAGCTTGGGTTTTGGTTTGGGCTAGGCATTTTAAAAATCCCAATCTAAGAGTCGCTCTTTCCCTTTGCATTTCTTTCTCCCTGTGACAAATGCCGGATTTCTGCAAGAGGCCATTGGTACCTGGGTTCCCCATCTCACTGTGCCATTTTTTTTTCCAGGTGCATTGTCCTGTTTTCTGTTTTAGCATGGGTTTATGCCAAGCCTACCATGTATGGGGAGATCCTATCCCCTAACTATCCCCAGGCATACTCCAATGAGATAGAGAAATCTTGGGACATAGAAGTTCCAGAAGGGTTCGGGATTCACCTCTACTTTACCCATTTGGACATAGAGCTGTCAGAGAAGTGCACGTATGACTCAGTGCAGGTACATTATAAACACATGAAGAAGAGAGACCGAAGGGTAGGGCTGGGTGGAAGAATGTACTGTATGCCAAACAGTGGGCTGGAGTAAAAAAGTCCCATGGGGCTAAATGGTCTACATTCTGTCCCCTTTTCTCTCACCTCCAAGCCAAAATATTATCTTTTCCTGGTGTCTTTTCGACTTTTCTTTTAGATACTGTCAGGAGACACTGAGGAAGGGAGACTCTGTGGACAGAGGACCCCCAAGAGTCCCAACTCCCCAATTGTGGAAGAGTTCCAAGTCCCATACAATAAGCTTCAGGTGATCTTTAAGTCAGACTTCTCCAACGAAGAGCGTTTTACCGGCTTTGCTGCGTATTATGTTGCCGTAGGTAAGACTCACCCTTATGTATGATTTACTGCTAAAAGGTTAGAAGTAGGAAAAATATTGTACAATGTATTAAATGAGGATTCTGAGTTTTTTTGAGACAGGGCTTCCTGTGTAGCCCAGACTGGCCTTGCACTTCTGATTCTCCTGCCTATGCCTCCTAAGTGCTTGGATCACAGGTGTGCGCAACCACACCCAGCTGTGCTTACATCTTTTATAAAGTATTGGCTTGGCCTGAGTCCTTCTATGAATTGCCTTTGTGAAATTCAAACACATAATCATATCTTAGCAATTATAATAATGATAGTGATAATAATAGATAATAAGTAGCAGTTTATTTAGAACCACTATGATTGGATACTGTATTAGAAATTGTACCTATATTAGCATAATCTTCATCTCAACCCTTTAAGGTAGATGGCATTATCTCCATATAAAGATAATTCTTGCCAAGAATTGTAGAAGGAATATGGTATTCAAACCCCTTCAATATACGGCCTTCAAGGCTTCCAATTCTGCATGCTTCTCTATCTTTCTCAGGGCTAAAGTGAAGTTGGAACATCTCATAAAGTCAAACTCTTGTTTAGATTTTGTAGAAGGACCAACATCATATAAAGTGATGCATGTACTAATTTCTCTTCCCTCTGGGAAACATCACTATCATCTTTAGCCTGCAGTATTGTCTCTGACATCAAAATGCTTTGTATGTAAGAAAAGTCATGTGTCTCTGGCATAGAGAGTTCCCTTACAGCTGTGCAGTGGCAGGGCACAACTCTGGAATCATGGTTTGGGAAAGTAACATGGAATAATACCACTCTGAAACGTGGTTCCTTGAGAATCTCTAGCAACAAGCCTTCCCTACTTTTTCTTACATTTATAGCTTTGGAGTTGACCTCATCCCTCCTCCTAGGTCTTCGTCGTTGACCTCAATCTTTCTCTTCTCTTTGTAGATGTAAATGAGTGCACAGATTTTGCAGATGTCCCTTGCAGCCACTTCTGCAATAACTTCATTGGTGGTTATTTCTGCTCCTGTCCCCCAGAGTACTTCCTCTATGATGATATGAGGAATTGCGGAGGTGAGCTTAGTATCAACAGGGGTGCATGTTGCCTGGCACTTGGAGTGAACTCAGGCTTTGTCCACCATTCTGGTTTAGTATAAGTTCATGTTCCATTTGGCAGCTATTCATAAACTGAAGGGAAGCCACAGGAAGGAAAGAAGATAAGGTGTGTTAGTCAGCTTTCTGTTGCTGTGACAAAATACATGAGATAAACAACTTAAAAGAAGAAAATGTTTATTTTGGTTCATGGTTTCAGAAGTTTGATTTCATGGTTGCAGTTGGCACCATTGTTTTTGGTGCTGTGGAAAGGCAGAAAATCATGATGGGGAGCATGTGGTAGGGCAAAGTTGCTCACCAGGAAAGAGAGAGAGAGAGGAAGAGAGGGAGAGAGAGAGAGAAAGAGAGAGAGAGAGAGACAGGAAGAGAGAGGAAGAGAGAGAGAGAGAGGAAGAGAGGAAGAGAGAGAGAGAGGAAGAGAGGAAGAGAGAGAGAGAGGAAGAGAGAGAGAGAGGAAGAGAGGAAGAGAGAGAGAGAGGAAGAGAGGAAGAGAGAGAGAGAGGAAGAGAGGAAGAGAGAGAGAGAGAGGAAGAGAGGAAGAGAGAGAGAGAGAAAGAGAGAGAAAGAGAGAGAGAACGAAAGAGAGAGAAAGAGAAAGGGGTGAGGTCCTAATATTCTTGTCAAGGACACCCCCCCAATAACCTATCTTCCTTCCATTATCCCCACCTCCTAAAGGATCCACCACCTCCCAATAGCCCCACAGGCCTTGGACCAAGCCTTTAACGTATAGGACTTTGGGAGACATTTAAGATTCAAACTGTCGCAAAAGGCTCCAAGGTAAAGTTAGTTAATTGGAGAACAGAGATACAAGCCTGTGAAGAGACTGCCTGAGGTTATTCATAGTCATCAAAGGCTCCAACATAGGCAAAATAATGGAAACTTAATAAGCATTGGCTAACTCTCCTGAGAAGTATGTGGGATCCAGTCAGAGAAGAGATCCAAGGTTAGCTGGAATGGAGCACGACAAGCTTATGACAGAAGGAGTCATAGATTAGGGCAGGAACTTCTTTGGTTGACTTTGTATTTGAGTCCTTCTTTCTCTTTTTCTCCCTTAGTCAATTGCAGTGGGGATGTATTCACTGCACTGATTGGGGAGATTGCAAGTCCCAATTACCCCAACTCATACCCAGAGAACTCAAGGTGTGAATACCAGATTCTGTTGGAGAAGGGTTTCCAAGTGGTGGTGACTCTGCGGAGAGAAGACTTTGATGTGGAGCCAGCCGACTCGAAGGGGAACTGCCATGACAGTTTAGTTGTGCGTGGCGGATGATTAATTCTTGTCCCATCCTAACTCACTTGGAGAGATTTCTTTTCTTTTTATGTTGAATTTACTTAGGTATTATTTTTTGTTACACTGGAGTTTGAACTCAGGGCTTCATGCTTATAAGAGAAATGTTATCAACCTAAGATTTTTTTCTTGGGGACTGGGATTTAAACTCAGGGCTTCGTGCTCATAATAATGTGTTCTACCACTTGAACCACACCCTTTTCCTCTGGTTATTTTGCAGATGATCTTTTGAACTATTTGCCTGGAGTGGCCTCAAACAGCAATCCTCCCAATCTTAGCTGAGAGATTAGGTTTTTTTTTTTTGTGATACTAGGATTTGAACTCAGGGCCTATACCTTGAGTCACTCCACCAGCCCTTTTTTGTGATGGGTTTTTTAGTGATAGGGCGTCATGAACTATTTGCCCGGGCTGGCTTCGAACCGTGATTCTCCTGAGTAGCTAATCTGGGAAGAGAGATTTGTTCTTGAAGACAAAATTCCTTCTGCCCCTGGTTTCATTTTTTCTCCTTAATTTTAATTGAATTAACTAGTTATTTTGTGGTACTGGGGGCTGAACTCAAGGTCTCATGCTTGCTAAGCAAGTACTCTACTATTTTAGCCACACCCCAATTCTCCTTATTTTATATTACATTTATTATCTCCCTTACTTTTTTTCATGTGTTTTTTGGCCATTTGAATTTCTTCTTTTGAGAAAGTTCTTTTTAGTTCACTTGCCCATTTCTTTATTGGTTCATTAATTTTGGGAGAGTTTAGTTTTTTGAGTTCCTTTTATATTCTGGTTACCAGTCCTTTGTCTGATGTTAGCTGGCAAATATTTTCTCCCACTCTGTGGATGGTCTCTTCAATTTGGAGACCATTTCTTTTGTTGAGCAGAAGCTTTTTAGTTTTATGAAGTCCCATTTATCTATGCTATCTCTTAGTTGCTGAGCTGCTGGGATTCTCCCTTACTTTTATATCCTCTGTTTAACTTCTTTCCTTTAGTTCTTCCTGTCTTCTGAGTTAATCATTTTGTTTCCTTTCAGTTTGTCACAAAAAATCAGCAATTTGGTCCTTACTGTGGTAATGGATTCCCTGGGCCACTAACTATTGAAACCAAGAGTAATGCTCTTGATATCATCTTTCAAACTGACCTAACAGGGGAAAACAAAGGCTGGAAGCTTCGTTACCATGGAGACCGTGAGTAACCTAGAAATATTTGGTTGGTGATACTAAAATCCTTGGACAATGTAGACTTAAAGCAGGTAGACTTGTTTGATTAGCATCCTGAGATACTTTGCTTCTTTAGGAAGATCTATCCTGTCAGTAGTTTCTAGAAATGCCTCAACTAGTTGAGATCTAGTAATCCTTCAATTAGACCTGAGAATGCAGGGAACTTAGTGGTGCCATATTATTTTAGACATCTGCCATATTGGAACGTTAAGCATTGGAATTGAGGACAACTGAGAGAATTTAGGAAGTGTGAAAATGATGTAAATAGAATAGAGTTTCCAACTCTTTAGTAAAAATTTATTTCTGTCCTTTTCAAGCTATTCCTTGTCCTAAAGAAGTCACTGCCAATTCTGTTTGGGAGCCTGAAAAGGCCAAATATGTGTTCAAAGATGTGGTGAAGATAACCTGTGTGGATGGTTTCGAAGTTGTAGAGGTAAAGAATTGTTTGTGCCTCTTCCTAATTGCTGGCTCCAGATCAGGATGAGCATACTGAAACTGTGTGACAGTTTGCCTAATGTCCCTGTTTGATCAAGACATTAATGCATTTTCCATAGACAGATAACTCAAGGTCTTCAACCCTTCATTGTGAGTCACAGATCTCCTTGGCCAGCTTGGTATTCTTCCTCTGCCTTTGATCTTCCTGGGGAAGGGGAGCTGACAGCTGGGGCAAAGTTGTCTTTCAGTCCCAACTCCTGGGGATTTTTGGTCATTCTGCTAAGATGTTCCAGTCTTTTTTGGTGAGGACTCCTCATTGATTCAAGGCCAGAGATCAATTCCATTGTGTTTTTTTTTTTGTTTTTATGGGACTTGGGTTTGAACTCAGGGCTTCATGCTTACAAAAGCAGATGCTTTACCACTTGAACCACACAACTCCAGCCCTTTTTGCTCTGGTTATTTTGGAGATGGGGGTCTCCTGAACTATTTCCCCAGGCTAGCCTCAAACCATAATCCTCTTGATTTCAGCCTCCTAAGTAGCTAGGATTATAGGCATGAGCCACTGGCACCCAGCCCTTTGATTTTCCATGTTTCTGTGTGAATTCATGATGATGTCTATTATTCTCCAGGGAAGAGTTGGCTCAACATTTTTCTATTCTACCTGTCAAAGCAATGGAAAATGGAGTAATTCCAAGCTGAAATGTCAACGTATGTGTCTCTTCAGTGTGGAACTCTATTTTTCTCCTAAAGGGAGCTGAAAAATTGGCATATTAAAATCAAATGCATGGTATCCTCTGAGGCTTGTGAGAGGGTGGGTTGGGCTTTTGAAGGGAAGTCAATTATGGAGGATTATTTAGCCCCAGCCCTGATCTGCTCCCAGCCATTTAGACTAGTAGGTTTTTCTAAAAGAAGAGTCTGTGGGATTGGTAATTAATAGCTCCAAGTGGGTACATTCCTGGGTTCTACAAGAGCCTAAGCCAATGACTGGGAACCAGGTTCCTCCTTGTGTCTTCAATAGGCCTTCTGATTTGGAAGGTTTCAGTGGGCTAGAGAGTGGGATGGGGCCAGTTGGAGAAGATGGCCACACAGAGGCTGATGTGGGGAGGTTCATGCTGGGTGTGCTTATGGATATGGGGTGAGGAAGGCGTGATGATGGAACTTGCCGCATAACTTACTGGGAGGAAGCGGCTGTCATGACCATCATTCTCTTCCCTTCCTCTTGTAGCTGTGGACTGTGGTGCTCCTGAGTCCATTCTTCATGGTAAAGTTGAAGGTCCAGAAGATACTTTATTTGGTTCTGTCATTCACTACAGTTGTGAGGAGCCGTATTACTACATGGAACATGAAGGAGGTGGTAGGTTTCTTCTACTGGAGAAAAAGAGAAAGTGTATGAATGGTTGGAGGGTGGATGACACAATTTTTCTGAGTAGGAGAGAGTTTTCAGAGGCCTGGGGGAGAGAGAACGGACACCATCCTTTTGGCTTAGTCCAAGTTTTCACATGGGGCAGGGTACATTCTCAAGGATCATATGTGGGGAATCATAGAGGTCACTAGCTCAGCTTTGCAGCTGCAGCAGGAATTCCCCTACAACCTCCATTTCGTGTGTTTCTCCAACTTTGGGCAAATTATTTCATGAAAACCCCACAGGAGCAATGCTTCCAACTATGCATAACTAAACATACTGTCATGACTGTCTTCCTTCTTCCTCCCTCCCTGCATCCCTCCTTCTGTCCTTCCTTCCTTTCTTTTTTCTTTAGTACTGGGGTTTGATCTCAAGACCTCAGGCTTGCTAGGCAGTCCCCCTACCACTTGAGCCACACCCTTATTCCTTTTTTGATTTAGTTATTATTATTATTATTATTATTTTTTTTGTGGTACTGGGGTTTGAACTCAGGGCTTCATGCTTGCTAGGCAGGTGCTCTACCACTTGAGCCACTCCTGATTTAGTTATTTTTTGAATGGAGTCTCACATTTATGCCCAGGTTTATCTGGACCATGATACTCCTATTTATGTTTCCTGCCTAGCTGGGAATGAATGGCATGTTCCACCATACACAGCTTTTGTTTGTTGAGATGGGAGTCTGGAAAATGTTTTGCCTTCACTGACCTCGAATTGTGATCCTATTGACCACCACCTTCCAAGTAGCTAGTATTACAGGCACGAATCACTGTGCTTGGCCATGACTGGTTTTCTTGATGTAGAAATGCATGGTGAAACTAAATATGTCCTACTACATTGCTTTTCATTATTATATTATATATATCATATCATATTGTATTGTATGTTACATATCATTTTCCCACTTGAAGGACTTTCCCAGTTTGTACCACACCTGTCTTCCTATTGCTCTGGACACTGCTCTTTCTCTTTCTTTGGATAGAGGCCTGAGGGATTATTTGGCAAATGTTCTTGAGATTCTTCCCCAGCTGATTTAATCTGACCTCCTACTCAAATCCCAGAGGAGCTGAGGTTCTTCATGAAAGAGGAAGTGTGATCTGTGTTCCTTGCACTATTTCAGGAAAGTATCACTGTGCTGTTAACGGGAGCTGGATGAATGAGGTTCTGGGCACAGAGCTGCCGAAGTGTCTTCCAGGTAATCGGGGCTGAGGTGTGAGTGGAAACCATAGCCACTTGTGCAGGGAGTTGGGAGTCACCTCTGACAGGAGCTGTAACCCTCTCAGGAAAGGACTTAGTCCTGGCCTTCTAGAGTTCAGTGCAGTGAGGTGGTGGTAACACTGGGCTATGAGGATTCCCTTAACCACCCAGAGCGAAGTAGAAAAGTCAGGCAGTGACAGTTGGTGTCAGTCAGGGCCTGTGGGGTCTGGTGAAATAGATGGGGTAAGCTAATGCACAGTTGCTAGAAACAGGGCCTAACAGCAGAGAGGAGGAATCAATGCTCAGATAGAAACTTCATTAAATAGTGTAGTTAACAATATTAGAAGTCTATCTGGGGGCTGGGGGAGTGGCTCAGGTGTTAGAACACCTTCTTAGCAAGTGTGAGGCCCTGAGTTCAAACCCAAGTACCACCAAAAAAAAAATGTATATGGTAACAAGATGTAGAGGAATGAAAGATACAACGGGCCGCAGGAAAATCAGAGTTGAGTAGAAAAAGGCCCTGGGACAAAACTATCATCATCATCCTGGTAATTATAACAGTGCTATTGAGAGCTAGGGAGCTAATTTATCTCATCTATATCCTTGTGACAATCTGTGAGGTAGGTATTACTGGTTCTATTTTACACAGTGAACTGAGTGCCAGTTTACAGAGTTAATAAGTGGCAGAGTTTGAACTCAGAGCTGCCTGAGTCCAAAGCCCTTTATGTTAAACTCAAAGTCCATTCAGACTGTCTAGCAAGGGAATTAGGTAAGCCAACTTCCTCTGAAATTCAATACTGGGAAAGGCAAAGTGATCAGACCTGGAACCAGTAAGAAGTCAAGATCAAAGAAGGCAGCAGCCTGCATATCTGTAATCCCAGCTACTCAGGAGGCATAGATGGGAGGATCGTGATCTGAGGCCAGCCCTGGGCAGCCTCAGAAAGTAACCTAAAGCAAAAAGAACTGGAGGCATGGCTCAAGTGGTAGAGCACTTTGCCTAGCAAGAATAAGGCCTTGAGTTCAAATACTGGTACCTCTGAGAGAGAGAGCGAGAGAGAGAGCGCACTCTCTTTCCCTTGTAGGCTGACCCCTGGGTTACTGGGAAGGACTCAGTTACAACTGGGGCCTGGAACTTCAGTACAGAAGTTGCTAGATGAGGGTTTCATCCTGCATCAGAAGGTGGAAAGCTTGCTTCCCCTATAATCTGTGTGGGGAAAGGCTTGCCTAACACTCACTGGCTCCATGTTGGATCTCTGGCCTCACGTGCTGAGTCTCAGAGGAACCATGAGTCAAGCTGTGGATAGTGTAACACACTAGCTCATCTGGACTTGATAATTCACACACTGCCTCTGTTTAGCAAATCTCTCCTACAATTCTACTTGTGGCATTGGCAAAGGGAATTTTTTCTTTTTTTGGTGGAACTGGAGTTTGAACTCAGGACTTCATGCTTGCAAAGCAGGTGCTCTATCACTTGAGCCACAGCTCTAGTCTGAGATGTTTAGGTAAGGCTATGATAAGACAGACATGGAAATGGTTGACCAAATAGGTTGACTGTATCATACTGGAGAACCCTGCCAACCAATGGGTATAAGCATTGGAGTGACTGAAAGACTTTCAGAACACCATCATTTCCTGTTCTCTCTCCTTGTTCTTTTTCCTTCCTAGTCTGCGGAGTCCCCAGTAAGCCCTTTACAATACAACAGAGGATATTTGGAGGTTACCCTGCAGAGATTGAAAATTTCCCCTGGCAAGTCTTCTTTAAGAACCCATGGGCTGGTGGGGCTCTCATTGATGAGCATTGGGTGCTGACAGCTGCCCATGTCGTGGAAGGAATCTCTGATCCCACTATGTATGTTGGGTCCACTTCTGTGAAAACCTCAGATCTGAGAAATGTCCAGATGCTCACCAGTGAACGTGTGATTATTCATCCGGGTTGGAAACCAACGGACGACCCAAACACACGAAGGAATTTTGACAATGACATTGCACTGGTGCAGCTGAAAGACCCAGTGAAAATGGGACCAACTATCTCCCCCATTTGTCTGCCAGGTGCCTCCTCAGAATACAACCCCACAGCGGGAGTCCTGGGACTCATCTCAGGCTGGGGCCGAACAGAGACAAGAGATCGTGTTATCAGACTCAGAGGGGCAAAGTTGCCCATAACTACTTTAGATATGTGCCAAGAGGTGAAAGTAGAGAAATCCAGAGTGCAGTCAGATGCCTATGTTTTCACTGACAACATGATCTGTGCTGGAGAAATGGGTGTTGACACCTGTCAGGGGGACAGCGGGGGGGCTTTTGCTATCCAGGACCCCAATGAAAAGGACCCCAAATTTTATGTAGCCGGCCTGGTGTCCTGGGGGAAACAGTGTGGGACTTATGGGATCTACACAAAGGTAAAGAACTACATTGACTGGATAAGGAAAACCATGCAAGAAAACCCCGTCTCCAGTAAGGTCTAATCCAGGCATACACCACCCACCTCTCCAAGGACAGGACCAATCCATTGTCTTCAACTCTTCAAGATATTCCCATTATTTCACCATGATTGAGAAAACACTTGGGAATATGATTAACATAGGACTTCACCGTCAAGATACCTGGCTGGAGGTAGAGTTTGATCATAGAATTGTATTGGCTATTCAGTTGTGAATACTTGTCAGAGGGAACAACTTGGAAGAGGCACTCTCTTATCTTCACTATTCTACAGGAATACCTTAATATTTTTGTTTCCCCTTTACTGTTTGAAATTCCATTTGCTTGATCATTCATTATCTACTTACAATAAAGCATCTTTATAGACCAATTCTGACCAACTTTCCTTATTCTACATCAAAGCTTCAGAACCACAGAAGGGAGTGGAATGGAAGGGCTGTTGTATTTTGGAATTCAGGCAACTAGCAACTCATGTTTAACTGTCATGAAAACATGGAGTTCAGTTTTTCTCCTCTTCCAAAGAGAATTTTGTGAACAGTTAGAATTTCTGTTTAAGATCTTTAAGTATGAATTACTTCAATATGTCACCTGAAAATTAATTTTATTTTAATACTCATTTGTATAGTACAGTATTATGACTTAATAAAAAAGAAAAACCAAAGAAATTCAGCATACTTTGGACTGCTTTCTTGGTAGTTTTGGTCAATTTGTCAGTCAGGTAGCAAATTGAACTTGGTATTGAACTCTATCCAAGATGTTATAGCTGAAATTTCAGCAGTGATGAATCCAGAGACTTTCCCTGCTATTCTTTAGGGAAGAAAAATGAAAACAAAACAAAACAAAACAAAAAACTCCTCTCCAAAGAATGATTCCTAATGAAAAATGACCAAGAAATAGACACTTAGGTTTTTTTTGTTTTGTTTTGTTTTTGTGGTGCTGAGAATGGGACCCAGGGTCTTACACATGCTAGGAAAGTGCTCTACCACTGAGCTACATCCCCAGCGTTTTTAAAACTCAGGACAGGAGAGTTGTCTTAGGGTGATGGTTGTTCTAACAGGATGTTTTATGAAAACAGTATTGAGAATGAGTTCAGGGAATTAAAAAAAAAAGTTCAGGGTAGCTTTGGCTGTTTAATGTTACATGTGGCTTTCAGGAGAGCAGTTTTTTGCCAATAGGGGTGTGTTTGGGACTTATCAAAAAAGGACTCTGACCTTCCATAGACCAAAAGAACTAAATTGAGCAGTGGACTTTTGACTGGAGAGTAAACACATGATAAGGCAACTAGAAGAACTCCAATGGAAGTTAGAGTTAGAGTTCTTCCAGGGAGCCTCTGGAAGAATGGTGTCAGATCAGTCAAGTAGCATAAAACCACTGCCTAATGCTGCTTGTGACATACAGCCACCTTGTACTTCCACCCACCGCCTGTCATTGCAGTGGTATTGACAGTGTGCTCTGGACTAGAGTTTTGAGTGGGCAAAAGAGTAGAGAGATATTAAGATTGAGAAATATGATCTGTTATAGAGACTTTCCTTCTTTTTATACTGGGGTGGGTAACAGCAAGAAACAGACCAGGAATCTGAAAGTTAACCAAAAGGAAGTTCATCCCTTCCAGAGGGATCTTCAGTCTGTTTGGGTGCTGCCCTTGTGATGGGCTGTAGTGTGGGTGGAAGAACTCCCTCTTTGTGCTGCCACATACCATATGACAGATTGGGATTTTGCATGGGCAACTGTACTGCAAGATCATTTCCTGGGTGAATGGCAGGAAAAGGATCTAAATGAGTCACTATCAGGCTTCAGCACTGGGAAGAGGCTGTCACCCGGCCTAGCAGGCTAGAAAGTCATTAACTGTGACTTATAGGGTATTAATCATATAGCCTTATAAATCACTTGGGAACAATGTGTGTCTGTTTCACCTGAAACTCAGCAAAACACTTTTTTAAAATTTAGATTTTATATTTTGTGGTACTGGGGATTGAATCCAGGGCCTTGTACATGCTAGGCAAGCACTGTACCACTGAACTCCATCCTCAGCCTAAAACAAAGAAAACCATATTTTTTTGCAGTGCTGGTGATTGAACCCAAGGCCCTACCACTGAACTATATCTCTAGACCTTGTTTTTTTGAGACATGATTTCACTGTGAAACTGAGGCTGGCCTCGAGCTCATGATCCTCCTACCTCTGCCTCCCAACTGCTGGGACTGCAGGCATGTACCACCATGACTGGCTTAATAAAACAAAACAAAACAACTTTTTAAAGAGCTAGGTGCAATGCCCACATCTTTAATTGTAGCACTTGTTAGGAGGAGGCAGGAGAATCTCAAGTTTGAGACCAGCCTGGGCTATATAGCAAGACTGTCTCAAAACAAAACAAAACAAAAACAAAAACCTATTAAAGCAGGTGAACTGTCAGTTTTCCTTGTCCAGGAGAAAACAGACCAATGGATCAGTGTTACTCAACTTTCTATTACTATATCAAAATTCCTGAGATAACTACCTTAAAAAGTGGAAAGGTTTATTTTGCCTCATAGCTTCAGAGGTTCCAGTTCATGATCGGTTGCCCTTGTTATTTTGGACCTGTGGTGAGGTAGCACTTCATGGCAAGGAGTGGGTGATAGACCAGCTGCTTACCTCATGGAGCCTGGGAAACAAACAGAGAAAGAGCAGGAGTTAGGGTCCCAAAATTTCCCTCAACGGCACACCCCTAATTACCTAACTTCTCCCTATCTCTTAAAGGTTCCACCATCTCCCTCTACTGCCATGGACTGGTGATCAAGCTTTTAGCATTTGATCTTTGGGGGACATTTAAGATCCAAACTATAGTAGTCTGCAACTCATGCCGGGGAGCAAAGACAGTGCCCAGTGGTCCAAAGGACTTGATGAAAAGGAACTTGGTTGAAGTCACACTGGTTCAGAAGTGGCCGGGAAAGATTCTGGGACTCTCAAGGTGACTTTACTGAGATTCTGAAAAATCTATGAAAATGAGACTTCCTATTTCCTCCATATATGTTGTATTTTTAAATTTAAAAATATGAGAAATCTTCAATCTTAATCAAATCCACAAACACTGCCATTACTTATTAATTTTTGGTGGGACTGGGGTTTGACTCAGAGCTTTATGCTTGCAAAGTAGGTACCCTATCACTTGAGCCACACCTCTCGTCCATTTTTGCTCTGGTTATTTTGGAAATGGGGGGTCTTACAAACTATTTGCCTGGGCTGGCCTTGAAACTTGATCCTCCTGATGTCAACCTCCCAAGTAGCTAGGATTATAGGTGTGAGCCACTGGCACCTGGTCTTTTCATTTTTTAAAATGATGATTTTATAGCTCTTCCCCCTTTTCTAGGTGGTACTGGGGTTTGATCTCAGGGCCTGGTGATTGCTAGACTATTTGAACCACTTTGCCAGCCCTTTTTGCTTTAGTCATTTTTGGTTATGGTCGCACGTTTTTGCCTGGGGTGGCCTCTGGTCACAATCTTCCTAAACCTCCCATGTAGCTGGGATTACAGATACCCTCCACATCCATTGTTGAGATGGAGTCTGGCTAACTTTTTCACCTGGGCTGGCTTTGAAACTCAATCCTTCTTATCTCTGATTTCCTCTTCCTGAGTAGCTGAGTAGCCACCACACCTGACCCTCCCTTTTCTTTTGAAAGACACATTCACAGAAACTTGCAAAGATCCTGCAGAGGTATGGTGTACCTTTCCCTTCATGGTTACATCTTATGTAACTACAGTGCCATAGCAAAACCAGGACTCATATATTGGTATGATTGAGTGACACTACTGTGTCATTTTTTTCACATCAGAGCTTCTTGTAACCTCCACTGCAGTCATATACAGAAGTAGTACACCACCACAAAGATCTTCCTCCTGCTATCTCTTTATAGCCACACCCTTTCACTTTTAATTTTCTCTTAGGAATATAAAAAGATATTTTGCATAGTTGGAGATCAAACCCAGGGCCTTGTGCATGCTAGGCAAGAGCTCTATCACAGAGTTATACTCCCAGACCATAAAAAAGATACTTTTGAAAGGTCCGGTATCTCTCAGAAGGGCTGAATGGATCAAGGGAAGTGGATTTTGTGCATATTCACCCTATAGTTTGGTTCTGGAATGTTCCTCAAAGACCCATGTGTTAAAGACTTGGTCCTCAGTTTGATGCTGTTGGAAGGTGGTGGAACCTTTAAGAGGTGGGGCTTAGTGGGAGGTTTTAGGTCATTGGGGGCCAGCCTTTGAAGGGGACTCTGGGATGTTGATCTCTTCTTCTCTCTCTTTTGCTTCCTGGCTGCCATGAGGTGAGCAGCTTTGCTCCACCATGTGCTCCCTGCCACAGGCCCAAAAGTTATAGGGCTAGCTGATCATGTACTGAAAACCATGAAACCATAAGACATAATCTTTTCCTCTTTTGTCTCGGGTATCTTGTTACGATATTGGAAAGCTGGCTGTCACCCCCACTCTCAAGGAAGAGGGAGGCTAGATATAAGGTGGGGGACCAGATAAAGTTGTGGCAAACAGTAGATGCTATAGTTTGTATCTGAAGTGTCCCCACAAAGAGCTCATGTGTTGGGGGTTTGTTCCCTGGATGGTGCTATTTTGGAAGGTTCCATAAACTTTGGAAAGTGGGTCACTAGAGGCAGGACCTTCAGGATATCTTGTCCCTGGTCCCTTCCTGTCTCTCTCTGCTTCCTGTCCACCATGAGTTGTAGAAGCTCTCACTGCTGTCATGTTTGGTCCCACTCTATGATGCATGGGGCCAGGTAACCATGGCCTGAACCTCCTGAAATCATGCATAAAAATAAATCTTTCCTCCTTTTAGTTGTTCTTTCAGGTATTATTTTGGTCTAATGATGCAAAAGTAACTAACATAATGAAGGAACTCCCAAGGGAGGGAACACCAATCTTAAGGGCAAGTCCCTAGTGGGCTTTGCTTCCTGATAGTGCAGCTTCTGTTTTGCAAACTCTCTCTCCTTCTGCAAGGGAGTACAAAAGACCTAGGAGAGCAGCAACTGCCAGTAAGGAGCTTGTTCTAGTTTTAACCACTGGATTCTGTCTGACCTCCAAACAGGTTGTTTGTACTCTGTAAATTCCCTTATATTTAATGTGGAAGCAAATTATTTTTCCTGTCTTCATTGCCTGGGACTTCTTGTGAAATATTTTTGGTATAATATACTCAAAAATTAAAATGCTTTTTGATCTGTTGTAGACAGAAAACAGGAAGAATCTAGGGTTTCCAACAGAGGAAAGAAAGGGTGGTTAGAGTAAAAGCTTTCAGAAGCTGGAATAAAAGCAGAAAAAAAGGGACTGAGTACATAGGGGAAGGAAAACTCAGGACAAATGGAAAAGAGGGATCCTGAGACCCTGGAGCCCAGTACTCTGTGGCCTGAGTGGGACTGGAAGACCCAAAAGGGAGAATTTGGTTTTCTCATGGAACCAAACATGGGGAAGGGCTGAGCCCAAATGGCTTAACAGAGGTCCTCTGAGAGTGATTTTGGAACACACGAAGCACCTTGGTTGGACCTGGGTGAACTCTGCCTGCTCTGAGGTCTCTACTTGTGACACAATGTAATGCAGGATTCCCCTCCCCCCATCATTAACTGTATTTGTCACTTCACTGGGTTGCCATATAACAGCTTGAATGACATCTGCTCCTTGTTTTGTTGTTTGAACTCAGGGGCTCATGCTTGCTAGGCAGGCACTCAACAACTTGAGCCACTCCATCAGTCCCTATTTTTTTGGTGAAGGGTATTTTAAGATAGGTCTTGTGAATGCGACTTAGGTTACTCCAGAGGCACCTGCACACCCATGTTTATTGCAGCAGTATTCACAATAGCCAAGTTATGGAAACAGCCAAGATGCCCCACCACTGACGAATGGATTAAGAAAATGTGGTATTTACACACAATGGAATTTACTCAGCCATGAAGAAGAATGAAATCTTATCATTTGCAGGTAAATGGATGGAACTGGAGAACACCATTCTGAGTGAGGTTAGCCAGGCTCATAAGACCAAAAATCGTATGTTCTCCCTCATATGCAGACTTTAGATCTAGGGCAAATGCAGCAATGTGGTTGGACTTGGGTCACACGCTAAGGGGAGAGCACATATGGGAGGAATGGGGATATGTAGGAAACCCAAAACTTGAAAGTGTTTGATGTCCCCACTGCAGAGGAACTAATACAGTAACCTTAAAGTGACAGAGGTCAATAGGGGACAGTGACTGTGAAGTAGTGAAGAGGTCAAGTAGAGATGGATCAATTCGCGTTGTAATACACTTGTAAATGGAAGCAATGCTAGCAATCTCTCTGTATAGCTATCCTTATCTCACCTAGCAAAAATGCTTTGTCTTTCTTATTATTGCTTATGTCTTCTCTTCAACAAAATTGGAGAAAAGGGCAGAACATGTTCTGCCTGGAAGTGAGGGGGGTAGGGGGGAAATAGAAGGGGGTGGGGGGCAGGGGGGAGAAATGGCCCAAACAATGTATGCACATATAAATAAATGAATAAAGAGAAAAAAAAGATAGGGTCTTGTGAACTATTTGCCTGGAGTTCCTTCAAACTCTGATCCTTCTGATCTCTGCCTTCTGAGTGGCTAGGATTATAGGTGTGAGCCACCAGCTCCAGCTTCCTTCCCCTCCTCCCTCCCTCCTTCCCTTCCTGCTTTCTTGCTGTACTGGGGTTTGAACGCAGGACCTCATGTTTACTAAGCAGGTACTCTACCACTTGAGCCACAATCCCAGATCCCTAATTCATTCTCAATCCCACTCTCCTAGCTGATTGTTCCATTCCTTCTTTCTCCTCAAACCCCAAACCTCAGCTGATGACCTTATTTTCTTCTTCGCTAAGACAATGAAGAACAGAAGACACTTCTACACACTTTCACCACTCATCCACTGCCAGTCAGCATCAGTTCCTTAATCTTTGCTTGCCTGCAAGTGAGCATGGCTAATTTACCCACAATTCCACCTCTCCCCTGCCCCCATCACCACCTCTCCCCAGCCCCCATTCCACCTCTCCCCAGCCCCCATCACCACCTCTCCCCAGCCCCCATTCCATCTCTCTGTTGTGGAATTCTAAACAGCATACAAACATGTCACTTTTCCTGTAATTTTTTTTTTATTTTGAAGGTAGGGTCTCCCTATGTAACCCAGGCTGGCCTTGAACTGTTGATCCTTCTGCCTCAGCCTCCTGAGTGCTGGGATTACAGGTGTGCATCCCTACACACCCTGCTCTTGTATTCTATTTTCTGTGAACTGTTTATCCATAGAACATTGGGTGTCCATATTTCCTACTTCAGTGCACTTGAAGAAAAACATACATGATTTGGGGGAACAGAAGTGGGGACTCAAGGGTCAGGAGAGTCGTATGACTCTCCTGAAGATACTTTTGACTACTAAAATAAGGGTGAAGGGGGCTGGCTCAAGTGTTAGAGCACCTGCCTAGAAAGTGTGAGGCCCTGAGTTCAAACCTCAGTGCAGTGAAAAAAAAGAAGCCTCAGAATCTTAAATTTACCCAGGAACCTTTGAAATAATATTGCTTAATGTTTTTATTTGTTTTGTTTTTCCCATCCCATCTGCTCTACTTCATGTCTCTACTCCTGTCTCCAGTCAATCCTGGACATGCTTCACTTCTGAAAACACTTCTGTACACTGTTAAAAACTGCAGTGAACATCTGCTCCTCAAATGGGTTACACCACACTTGTGCATGTTGTCATGTAGATTATGAGACAGTTTTCTTTGGTCATTTCCTGACGTCCACAATCCTGAAATCCAAAATGCTCTGAATGCCGAACATATTCTTACTAAGTTTTGGCACCAAAACTTAGTTAGTGACAAAATCTGACCTGAACTCAGTTACTGAAGAGTTTTTATCTAATTTACTGAGAATATTTAAATGGTTTTTTAAAGAATTACTCATTTGTTTTTCTTATAGGGTGTTGCCCTAGGTCCTGCAGGGGGTGTTACATAACAGCGTATTTATTACATTTCTGAAACCTATAAATTCTGCATATTGAAAAGCACTTCGTAACTTTATCCCAAACTAGCAAAACTGCTATATTATTATCTCTTATCTTTTCTCTTCAACAAAATCAGAGAAGAGGGCAGAACAGGTTCTGCCTGGAAGCAGGAGGTTGGGTGGGGTGGGGGGTGGTTGTTGGCGGGGAGGTGGCACAAACAATGTATCCACATGTAAGTAAATGCAAAAATGATAAAGTAAAAGGAGAGAAAAAAAGAAAAAGTAAAGAAAAGCACAAAAGAAAAATGATTGTAGACCTGCCTTTGGACTTACAAACCTGTCATTTCTCAGGAATGTTTTTAACTCTGAATGGGTCTTTGCATGTTGGAGGATCATGTAAAGTTATTCAAACCGGTTTCCAACAGTCATTTGTGCAATAGGATTACAAAAACTTGTCATTCCAAGTTTGGGGGAGTCTTCTCTGATCTTTATATGTATCTTGGCGAATACAGTTATATAAAAATATTGTTCGTAAGCTGGGCATGGTGGTGCATACCTGTAGTTCTAGCTACACTGGAGGTGGGGCAGGAAGCTCTCCTAAGTCCATGAGTTTGAGACCAGCCTGACATAGTGGGAACTTGTCTTACAAAAACATATATTGTTAGTGATTCAAGTTGGAGACAAAAATTTCATACTTTTCCTCCCTTAAGAATAGAGATTGAGCGGGCATGGTGCTAACTACCTATAATCCCAGCACTCAGAAGCCTGAGGCAGGAGGATTACAAGTTCCAGGCCAGCCTGGGCTACATAGGAAGAGCCTGTTACAAACCAAACCAAACCAAACCAAACCAAGCAAACCAAACAAAAGATTCTTTAGAGATTGAAAGTGAGCAATTTAAAAAGCTGTTATGTTTACAGCTATGTATGTGAGAAAATTGGGACTTTATTTATATTGTACATTTAAAACAAAATGCAGGGCTTGTGGGGGGATAGCTCAAGTGGTAGAGAGGTTGCTTAGCAAGTGCAAGGTGCCGGGTTAAACTTCTAGTACTGCAAAACAACCCCAACCCCAAAACAACAATAAAAAATAAATAAAAACAACTCCCCCAAACCAAAATGCAGAACGATATGGTTATCTTTAACCCTAATTGTAAATAACATATTTACATATGTGCATAAGCGTAACTGTTCTCATTGACTTCCTAAGTAAATAAATTAAATATGACCCTTACTAAATGTTTTATATTAATTAAATACCACTTTTGATTCATTTTACACACTGGAACATCTCATAAACCTTTATTTGGAAAGGGTTTTATTTAGTCACCCAATGGTACAACAACAGAAAAGGAAGATGATAGAGATCGATAACTATATCCTTTGTAATTCTTGGAAGGAAAGGCATCTTTTGGATTATTTAAGATAAAGAATGTGGATGGGATCTGGGCTTGGTGGGTCGTACCTGTAATCCCAGCACTCAGGAGGCTGAAGCAGGAGGATCTGGAGTTCTAGGCCAGCCTGGACTACACAGTAAGATTGTATCTCAAAAAACCCAAATGAGGGTGTGTGTGTGTGTGAGGGGGGTGGGGGATTATAGACAAGAGAGTAAAGAATTTATTTCACACAGTACCTTTCTGCATCAGTGATTTTAATACGGGTCCTTAGTGGTTATTGACAACTGGTTGGGATAATTTTTCTTTTTGCACACTGCTCGCTGGATTCTGACCTAGTGAATCCTGGGGCTTAGCCCTCCTCCATCTCCTTCTTGATCCAGTCCACATAATTGAGTAATTTGGTGTAGAAGCCGTACCCCTTCCCACACCCAATGCCCCAGGACACGATTCCCGTGGCCACCCAGCGATCGGAGTTGGGGTCCCTCACTGCGAAGACACCTCCGCTGTCCCCCTGGCAGGCATCCTGCTTTAGACTTGGGTCCCCAGCACAAAACATGTTTTTCGAAAACACGTCGTTGCTCTTTTTCCCCCGGAGCCAGCTCTCACAGGCCCTGCGCTCAGCTACAGGCAGCCGGACAAACCTGAGGTCAAAGGCAATCCTCTCGTGGGTGATCCCGAAGCCACTGACATAGCCCATGAGGCCGCGGTCATAGAAGGTCTCATTGTCCGGGAGGCAGATGGGGAGGAGGTTAGGGCCTAGGGTGACACTATTTTCCAGCTCCAGCAGGGCGATGTCCCCCTCAAAATTGTGGGACTGGTCCTGGCGGTAGTCTGGGTGGATGCTCACCCTGCGGACAGGGTGATTTCCCAGTTTCTTGATCTCGTCCACGTTTGTGTGGCCCAGGAACACATCCACGGTGACATTCTGGTGTATATTTTGCGTGTTGTGTTCCTTGGGGTACAGGGTGTGGGCGGCCGTGAGGATCCAGCGGTCGCCCAGGAGGGCCCCACCGCCCCGTCCATAGATGTGGGTGTAGGCCTGCCAGGGGAAGTTGCCGGGCTTGGCCTGCCGTCCTCCGATGATGCGCTGCTTCTGTTCCACGGGGTGGACGGGCTTCCCACACACTGGAGAAGAGACCCGGCCAGGACCAGTCAACCCCCGCGCCTGCCCCATCACTCTGTGGCCAATCCCCTTCCCTCCCCTGGTAGCTCTTGCCCTGTTCTCTTTCTCCTCCTGTTTCCAGGATCTCTCTCTCTCTCTCTCTCTCTCTCTCTCTCTCTCTCTCTGGCAGTACTAGGGTTTGAACTCAAAGCCTTACATTTGCTAGACAGGCACTCTTACCACTTGAGCTATGCCTCCAGCTTTCTGCTTTAATACCTTTTCACCTAGGGTCTCTCTTTTTTTTTTTTTTTTTGTCCAGGCCAGCCTGGATCTTGATCCTCCTACTTCAGCTTCCCACATAACTGGAATGACATGCTCAGCTATAATTGATTGAGATAGCATTCTTGATATCTTTTTGCCCAGATACCTGAACCTTAATCCTCCCAATACCAACCTTCCCAGTAGCTGGGATTACACACAGGAGCCACTGTGCCCAGCTTTCTTTTGTTTTTAACTCCCTGATTCCCCATCTGCTTAGTGAAAATACTGGACAGAGTCCCATTCTCTGTGCCTCTCTCCTTTTCTCTTGGGATGTTTATTCTCCTCTCCTTTTTTCTCCCTCCTCATCTGTTTTGCACTTCAAGCTGAGGTCTCTCTCTCCTTGCTTGGTGTCCTTTCTCAGTGCCATGTTTCTTCTAAGGTCTCCAGGGCTGCAAAAGGCTCTGAGTATGGTCCCAGAGAGTTTCCACTCACCTGGCAAACACCGAGGAACTTTCTCTCCCTCCTCTTCATTCTTCCAGATGCCCTGGGCTGTGCAGGTGTAAGTCCCTGAGAGGAGAATGGACTTGAATCAAGGTGGGAAGCAATGGGCAGAAGCAGGTGACAGGCTAGTGAGCACTGAACCTGTTGTATTGGGAGTTGGGAGATAAGGAACCAATGTAGGCAGGGATCAAAGTTAACTGGTTGGAATCTGTAAGGATTGAATGTCACATGTGTCTAACATCTGAGTCCATACAGATATTTTCTTTTGGACCTCACACTTGCTAGGCAGGTGGTCTACCACCTGAGCCACTCGGCTGACTCATGTATTTTTCTCTTAATGTTAAGCGGATAAAATCAGAACACATAAGCATATGTTTGTTGCGAGGCCTATTTGTGAAAGCAGACATAAAGCTCACAGAGAATATGTCAGATCTTCATGATGGTAGAGGCAGTGGAGGCAGTTACATTTCCTTTCTTCCTCCCTCCCTCCTTTCCTTCTCCGGCCTCCCTCCTTCCCTCCCTCCCTCTCTCCTTCCTTTTTTCTTTTCTTTCCTTGCATTCATTCTTCCTTTTTTTTTTTCTGGCAATACTAGGGTTTGAACTCAAGGATTTGTGTTTGCTAGGCAGGCACTCTATCCCTTGGGTCCCATTTTTTCTCCTTCTTTCTTTTTTCCTTCCTCCCTCCCTCCCTCCCTCCCTTCCTTCCTTCCTTCCTTTCCTTTCCTTTCTTTCTTTCTTTGAGACAAGGTCTAGGTATGTAGCCTAGGCTAGCCTTGAACTCACTGTATAGCCTACCTGGCCTCAAACTCTCCATTCTCCTGTCTTAGCCCCCCAAATGATGGGATTACAGGCATGTACTACCATGCCCAGTGATACATGCCCAGATGCTACATTTTCTGATGGTTGACCATGTGACACATTTGTTGCTAAGCACTTTGTATGCATTATCTCATGTAAGAACCACAGTGACACTCTCAGGTATGCATGATCCCCATTTTGTAGACGAAGAAACTGAGCTTAAATGATTTGCACAAAGTCACAGAACTTCTAAGCACCAGAGCCAAGATGAAAAATGAGGGTTGTCTGAATCCCAAGCCCAGCTCTTAATGGATAGCATATACAACCCAGATATTTTTACATGTTTCAAATCTGTTAAATTGAATGCTTTTTTTGTTATATTGAATGTTGTTTTGAGACAGGGTCTCAATATGTAGCCCAGACTGGCCTTGAACTTGTGATTCCTCCTGCCTCAGTCTCCCAAGTGCTAGGATCATAGGCGTATGCTACCATGCCTGCCTCTCAATGAATGCAGGTTTTTTTTTTTTTTTTTTTGCAGTGCTGGGAATGTAACCGGGGTCTCACACCTGGTAGGCAAGTGCTCTACCACTGACCAATATCCTCAGCCTTTATTTATTTTTTTATTTAAAAAAGCTATAAATATACCCATAGATGAGTTTCAAAACCATTAAGTAAGCCTAAATGCAAAAAAACCCAACATACCTGCCAAACAGGGGGAGTGGAGGGGAGTTCTCACTGTAACTGTGGTGGTGATGATGGTGATTGCTGCCATGGTGGTGGTTGTCAGTAATGGTGATGGTGGTGATGGTGGTGTTGGTAAGGATTGTGCTGGTGGTGAGGGTGATGGTGGTGACCATAGTGTTAACGGGGATGATGGTACTGATGGTGGTGGTGATGACGTGGTGGTGGTTGTGTTAGTGTGGTTGTGTCGATGGTGATGGTTGTGTTGAATGTTGGTAATGGTGTTGGTGATGGTGGTGGTGATGGTTTTATGGGTGTGGTGGTGGTGATGGTGGTAATCATGGGTGTCAGTGGTGATGATAGATTGGTGTTGGCAATGGTGGTTGTGGTGTGATTGTGCTGGCAATGGTATTGGTGGTGATGACGGTGATGTTACTGGTCATGGTAGTGGTGGTAGTGAGTGTGGTAGTGCTGGTGGTGGTGTGGTGGTAGTGGTGAGAGGTGGTAGTAGAGAGTGTTTATGAGATTCAAGTCTTTTCTTTGATAAGCTCAGGCATTTTCTTCTTCAAGCCTACTAGGTTCCTCTTGGCCTGTAATTTTAATTTAATCTCCTGATACCTTACTATTCATTCCCTACGGATTCTATTGGAAGAAATTTCACAGGATGTCCCAAGAAGAGATAAAAAGACCGCCATGGGTATCAGTCCCTACCTCGTGCAGACTCACTGCTGCCAGTTCTGATCTTCATCTTGTAATATGGCTCATTGCAGTAGTACTGGATACGGGCCTCGTAAGTGTTCACCCCCTCCGTGGTGATGTAACGGAAGTCTCCGTTCGACAGGCTTTGTGGCTGCCCACAGTCCTTGACTTAGAAAGAACAGAGGGCCGGGTGAGAGCAGAGAAAGCCTGTCTGGGAACATTAGTGGGGGTGAGAGTAGTTGCTTGAGAACAGGCTGAGAGCCTTAGGAAGTATGGCCAGTAGAGTGGGCACTTGTAATGGCATGGAGTTGAATGGAGCGATTTTTGCTTCTGGTAGAGCCCGTCAGTCCTGTTTAGATGAGTGTTCAGTGGTTCCTGAGATGGGCTATGGGCTTCAAAGGACAAGTCGGGGAGGATCTCTTGGGGAGAACTTATCTGAACCCCCTCTTCCCTCTCAGCTCAGGTCCCCAAGGCTGAGGGATGAGAGGTTCCCAGGGGCAGATGCTTCTGATTTGTGACTTACTCTTGCATCTAGGCATGGCACGATGCCATGTGCCATCATCCTGGCAGACAGCCGTGAAGGATCGAAGCACCTTGGTCCCCTGTGAGGAGAGGTCAGAGGTGCTGTTAGCACCATGAGGCACACTGCTCCCCTCCCTGCCTTCCCAGGCACACAAATTTTCAGCTCTTAAACCTCAGCTTCCCCCATGGATATGGCTTCTTCTTCCTTCTCCCTACCCAGTCCTCTTAGTCCAGAGATACAGATGAGATACTGAGTCACACAGCAGAAAGTCAGAGCAAGACTAATTGGCAGACCCACTAATCTTCCCTCTAGACTCTTACATGTTTCCACTAACCCCCCCAATTTGTAATGTGAAAAGCCACCAGCCAGGATGAGTGCTTTTGTATTCAAACAAAAGACTCTGGAGTGGACACACACTTCTCTTTCTCCAGTGCCCTGCCAGCTGAGGCTGGCATCTTGTTATTTCTCCTACTTACAGTTTTCTAAGGTCAAGGGCCTTTCCTAAAATACTAGTGCCATCTTGCCCCTTCCATAAGTGCTCAAGATGTTGATGTGTGCTAAGTCCTATAGCAAGTAAGTAGCTAACTGGAACAAGACCAGTAAATGGCACTCTTTGGACAATATTGAACAATATGAATGACTCTTTTGAGACCAGAAAGCGGATAGAGCTGCTGCCTAGCAAGTGTGAGACTCTAAGTTCAAATCCCAGTACTACTACAATTAAAAAAAAAAATGAATTGGGCTCAGTGGCACATGCCTGTAATCCCAGCACTTGGGCAGCCGAGGCAGAAGGATCTTGAGTTTGAGGCCAGCTTGGGTTATATAGAAAGACTTTGTCATAAGCAAACAAAACGAAACAAAGCCAACTATGTTTCCTCTGAGTCTGCAGAGCTGAGGACAGGGTAGTGGGCATGAGGTAAGACAACCAATGTGCATAAAGAGCTCTGCAGCAGGAGGTAGGAGGTTTGGTTCTAGTTCCTGTTGTACAAAATCATTAAGAGATATTAAATAAGTCCCTGTATCTTCACCCTGACCTTTCAGTTCCTAATTCTATAATGAGAATTAGACTAGGTCAGTAGTCTTTCTGTTCAGAGTCCTTATTTGGGAACTTGGACATCAGTTTTCTTTTTTTGGTGGTACTGGGGTTTGAATTCAGGGCCTTGAGCTTGTTAGACAGGTGCTCTACCACTTGAGCCACACCCCCAGCCCTGAGAAATGAGTTTTAAAAAGAATTCTTTGAGTGTTTCCAATGTACAGTCAAGTTTAGAGCTGGTAGACCAGATGACTCTTCAGCTCAACCCTTGGTGATTCCAGTTGTGTGTGATCAAGAGTTGCTATGGACTTTCACATCTGAATTCCTGCAGGGATACTGAGCCAGCTTGGCCCCGGACTCTTACCTCCACCAGCTGGTAGCCTTGTTTGCAGGTGGCAATGAAGTAGTCACGGAACTGGTATTGAGGCTGCAGTTCTTGGATGATGGTGAACTCGTCTAGGGCCTTGGGCTGGGGGCATTTGATGACTGTTGGGGAGACCAGAAGGCATGCTTATTTCAGAGGGCCACTTGTCCTTTCTTCTCCCTACCATTTCCCCATTGCTGGCCAGTGAGGGAGGCTCCTAGGACTCATATTTTAATTTTTGGCGCTTGGGATTCAACCCAGGGCCTCATGTATGCTAAGCACAAGTTCTAGCACCGAGCTACACCCCATCCTAGCAACCTTACTTTCAGTGGTATAGTGCAGCTTCCAGCCTCGGCTGTCCCCTGACTCATCTGTGAAGAACAGTAGATCTACAGCATTGCTGCTGGTGTCAAAGTCAGGAGGCCTTTGCTTCCCACAGAACTTGCCCAAGTTCCTCCCATTGGCATAGATCTGATGGGAGAATGAGGAATGGTTATTTCTCCATCCGAGGCACCTTTACACAGAGCTACCTGGGTATCAGCCTGGTGGCCAGGGTGGTGATGGGGGCTTGAATCCTGCCTTGTGTATGCATTTTTTTTGTTTTTTTCTTTATTCATTTATTCATATGCGCATACATCGTTTGGGCCATTTCTTCCCCCTGCCCCCGCCCTCTCCCTCTCCCCGTTGTGTATGTTTTCATGTGCAGGTGAAAGAAGAGCTCTAGGATACACTGCCAGTTGCATGGGAACTTGCCCAGCCCTGTGTGATACTGGCTGTCCCTGTCCCAGTTAGTCAGAAGACCCAGGAAGACGTAGAGAGGAGAGAAGCCAACTGGTGTAGGAGGGAGAAGAAGGGGTTGTGCAGGGCATTAAGTGGTTATACCTGGAGCTGGTCATAAGGGCATTGTACTTGCTGGTGGTCATCAATTTCAAAAGGCTCCAGGAACTTGAGGTGCAGGGTGAGGCCACGCTCTACCCGGATGCTGTAGTTGCAGCGCAGATCTGGAGGATAGGGCTGGGGGTACTCCAGGCTGGCAACGTAGCCTGAGGGCTCTGTGTACAGCCCACTGCTGCATTCAGCTGTGAGAGGAAGGGTGGGGGAGGTGTCACCAGGGGCTCTTGCACTGGCCCAGCAGCCCCTGCTCAGCCCATCTTCCTCCCTCAACCACCCTGACTCACCCTGGCAGGAATGTCCATCTTTCTGAAGCTCATAGCCTGGACGGCAGGAACAGAAGTAGCCGCCGACATAGTTGTGACACAGGTGTTGGCACTGGGGCTGGGGACCCTCCTCTATGGAATTGTGCTGGGAAGCACATTCATCGAGGTCTGGAAGGGATTCCGGAAGAAAGGGTTAAATATGTGTTATGGCTTTGGTCTCAGAGAGGTCACTCATCAGAGGCCTAGAAATAAAGCCCACTTGGTCACCTGAACCTCCAGGCCTCTCTGGAAACTGCCTGATGGGGATAGAGCCCAAGATAAAGACCCCTTCTGGAGAAAAGCTCTCTTGACGAGAGGGAGAAGGAAAGTCAGGCTTTTGGTTCCTTTGGGTTCAAGGTTCCCCTTTTCTGCCCCTCATTCAATATGGTTGAGGCCAGAAAGACGGGGTCCCCTCAGGGACACTCACCCACAGCTTGATAGTAGGCCAGGAAGCCCTTATAGAACATGATGGTCCCATTCTCCTCATTGGAGAAGTCCGTGTGGAAGGTCAGCAGCATCTGGTTCCCCTGGGACATGAATTCCTTCTTTCCTGGAGGGTTGCCCAGTGGAGACCCCAGCTGCCCACAGAACCTCCCCAGGTTTTTCTTGTCAGCAGAAATCTGATGGAGGAAGGATAAGGGCAAGGAGGAAGCCCTGTCAAGGAGCTGCATTCCATGTGGAAAGGTCAGTGAGGGTCCCCCCCGCACCGCTTCCTGTCCCAGAGTGAATCGAGCTATGACCACTATGCTGGTCACTATTTCCTGGACTCTGGCTGCTGCAAACGTCCCCATGTGATGTTCATCTGTCCACCTGAGTCTTCCATTGACTAAATCTTTGCATGCTGTCCTGTGTTTAGTACATCACCTCTTGCCTGTTTTCTGTTCCCCTCCCAGCAGGTTTCAGATCTCTCTTCATTCCCACCACTTCCAGTGTGCTTCTTTCACTGGAATCCTGGTTGTCTCCAGGATTCCATTCAGGATTAACATTCCTTCATCCCTAGAACCTGGAATGGTTGGCTCTTCTTTATTCTCTGTCTTCCTAGTCTTCATGTAATTCAAACCATTCACACCTAGCCATGCCTCCTGGCATGCCCAACTGAATATGATATGGTACCTGGTCCCCACCAGCTTCAGCATTGACAAGGATTGCCTAGCATCCCTATCTCTTTTCCTCACAGATTCCCCCATCTCTCAAAAGCAGGAGACATCTCTCCCTCCATTCTTCACTATCCCTACTAATAAATGTCCCCACGCCCTATAGACTTGCCAAGTCTTCTGTGCTGTGAAGAAGTGCCATTTTCATGCTATTCTCTCATAACTTCCAGACTGTCACCTGGGAAAGGCAGTTTCTGAGAATGCACAGGCTCTGCTATAGAATTCTGAATCTTATTTTTACTGGATATAGAAAGATAGGAACAAAAAAGAACCCTTCTCTGTGGTTACAGAGGCAAGGGTACTGAGTTCACCGTCTTTGAGAAAGGCCACATGTAACCTGCCATATTCAAGTTTTTCCCCCTCATGTTCCTATTGAGGTGAGAAGCCAAACAGGGAAACTGAGGCCTTGCCATTTCCCAAAGACTCAGCTATGGAGGAGGCCTATATGACTCTTGCAGTCAGTGCCTCTCCTGAGAGTAGGGCTGTACCTTTCCTCCATGTCCTCCCTCACAGAGGGTCTCTAAAACCCATTGCCAAGCTCTCATGGCGTTGCTCCTATAGGGCTGGGGCAGTGTCAGGGTTGTGGACACGTCCAGGGCAGTCAGAGCATAAGCTCTCAGCTTCTGGAGTGGACCAACTTTGTCTCCCTTCTGTTCTCCCAAGCAGACCCCTACCTTGACATAGTCATAGAAACAGCCTTCAGAAGGCTCCAGGTCAAACTGCCAGAAGACAAGCTTCACTCTGTGTCCCTTGGGGACTGTGATCACTGTGGTTGTCTCAAAGTTGTTGGGGTAAGGCTTGGGATACAAAGGAGAAGTCACCTCCCCAAAGAGCTTCTGAGGAATGGAGATGGAGCCTTCCACTCCACAGAACAGGGTTGACACCAGGAGGGAGAAGAGCCACCTGCCAAAAAGAGAGAGGGTATCTATGGGGCTGCAGGAGTACAGTGCCCTTGCTGTTTGGGCAGTGATGGGGTGGGATATGGGATTGTCATGCTGCTCTGCCTCTCCTGGGCCCTAGACCTCATAGAGATGCTCTTGATGGGGGAGGGACAGGAGTGGCCTCTTTAGATCCCTCCCAGGGCAGTGTCCAGTCCAGAGGTCCAGAGGTCACCACACTCCCATCATGCTCCCTCCCCAGCCTCTTCCCCTGCCAATGCCTCCCCCATACCCTCCCTTTCCCGGAATGGAATAATACTGGCTTGGAACCAGTTGATTGAGGGTAAGGGTTTCCAGCCATGGCTTTCTGTAAGGGCTCCCAAAGGCTCAGCAAAGACCTCTGGGAGAGACCCTTTGTGGAATCTGGGAAACACACATGGGAGATCCTCTTCCTGAGCAGACAGGGTCCTGTCTCCTCACTGCTTCCTGCTATAGTCCAGAGTGAAGAAAGGGGAGGCAGCACCAGCTATTGAAGGTCCCCTCTGGTCCTCAGGAAGAAGCTGGGGGTGTGAATTGGTGTGAGTATGTGTGTGGGTGCACTGGAATAAAGAAAGAACATGGGGAGGGAAGGGTGTCCCTGTCTCCCTGGACTTACCTCCTAGGTCCAGCACCTTCCTCCCCCGTCAGTGCCCATCAGCCTTACTCACATTTTTCAAGGCCAGTTTGGTTTGGGTCCTCAGCTCTCCTGACTGTGTCTTCATGCACTGTGGGTGAAGGGAGAGAGCCGGCATGCAGAGGAGGGAAGGGGAGGGAATGACTGTAGAAGTGGAGGGGGGACCATTCCCGGAGGAATGTTGTGGGGAATGAGCTATTTGCATAAACAACAAAAAAAAATCTGAGTTTCCACTTTAGTTTTGGTTTTGAAAACCCTGTTGGTGGTGCCACCTGCTGGTCTACATGGGTAAGGGCGAAAGAGATAGGGGTCTGAATTTTTAGGAACCGGGAAACATTTGGCTGGAGGTCCAGACTCGAAGTTTTAAAATCTGACCAGCATTCCTTCAAAAACTTTCCTGGGGGCTGCTAGCTATGTTTTCAGGGTTCCTCCCCAAGGGGCAACAGGGAGTCATGAGCTGAGGCCCCTGTCCTGGCTGTGCTTATCCATGAAGTCCATTCTTCTTCACTGAGCAGCCTCGACCCAGGAATAGCCAGGGTTTTAATGGGGTAGTGGAGGACACATAGGAGTGGACAGAGGAGTCCAGAGTCAGTTGTGTTGGGGCCTGGCCAACTTTATTTGCGAATGAGACCAGACATTGAAAGGGGTTGCAATGGCAGTGACCCTAAAGTAGCACCAGGTTTTGAAACCTTCCCTCCCACCCCAGTTAACTCAGGCTTGTCAATGAACTTGGCTTTTAGAGAAGACAGACCAGGGAGAAAAAACCTCTGGTTGAATTTGAGTCCTAGGGATTACAACTGCTTAATGCTTAAGCAGAGGGTATGGCTTCAGAGCAAGAGTGACTTGGTCTTTGCTAAGCGGAAGCCAGGTCCCTGAGGCAGCTCTCCTGTCCATCAGGACATAGTGCCCTGCTTTAAATTTTTGTTTCTGTGCCTTGGCTTCCCATGACTCCCAATCTACATTTTTCCAAACACTCCAGGGCCTTTCATCCTACAGGAGGTTCAGCCTGGGGAGCAGGCCTCCCATGCCTCACCTTCATAGGCTGGTCTGTTTATTCTCCTTATTAGATTAACCCTCCCACCCCTCCAACTACCCACAAGGTTTGGAGGATTTTTCCAGGGGACTTATGTGTGTGTTGTAGCTGAAGAATGAATCTGGTGGTAGGGCTGACCCATGATTTCATCATGACATGAACCATGGCCTTGTCAGGTCCGGAAAGACAAAAGATAAGGGAGGATTCTTGACTATTGACCTGTGTGTGTGTGTGTGTGTGTGTGTGTGTGTGTGTGTGTGTGTGTGTTACACATTCATGAAGAGGCAAAGGGAACAGGTAAGGAGGAGGTGGTTTCAGCTGAAGCTTGCTCATCCATCTGAGGAATTCTGAGTTCTGTCTTGGCATCGTGCAACATCCTAGGTTCTGAGTTCTGTCCTTCTGTCATGCAACATGACTGGAAACTGGCAAACTGGAACCTCACTAGCTGAGGCCCAGCCCCACCTCCACTCTGCCCAGCCATTCAAATAACCTTTACTTACATATTTTTGTTGACTTATATCACAAATAGAAAGGAGAAACAGCCAGATAATTGCTCCCAAACTTGTTTTACAACTGGTATGGTGGTGCACTTGGGAGGCTGAATGAGGAGGATTTCAGATTCAAGGCCAGTCTGGCAACATAGCAAGTTCCAGACCTGCCTAGGCTATGGCAAGACCCTGTCTCCAAAAATCCCAAAACTGGTATGGAAGACATTGTTATATTTGATTGATTCTGGGGAAAGAAGTTTCTCTCTTAAAGTAACGGCAGGTTTTCTGTGGAAATATCTCCATCTCTGTTAATCCTATCACCTTATTTCTAGATTTCTACCACCTGACCACCTGTACCGTCCTTTTTTTGGGTGGGACTGAGATTTGAACTCAGGGCTTTGCACTTGCAAAGCAGGCGCTCTACTGCTTGAGGCACACCTCCAGTCCATTGTGCTCTGGTTATTTTGGAGATGGGGGTCTCTTGAACTGTTTGGCCAGGCTGACCTTGAACCACGATCTTCCCAATCTCAACATCCCAAGTAGCTAGGATTACGGGTGTGAGCCACCCACTCCTGGCCATTTATACCATCTATATCTCTAAATGCAGATTTAAATCTATGTATGTAGAACTAGATATAGATCTAAATCGGCATCCCTCTAAATATGGATTTAGACATACATACATAGATATAGGTATGTATTTTTGCCTTAGCAGGGAGAAATATATCATTTTAATAAAAATAAAAATTTTCAGTCATAAGCAAAATGATACATGCTCATTAAATAAAAATTAACCAGTAGTGAACTAGGGATAAACCAAACAGTCAAAATCATATTGCCTAAAATAACTTCTGTTTAGTATTTTGAGAATATTTTGAATAGTCTTTTGAACTGTGTATAGGTTTAGAAAGCAATTACATACATTTACAACTTTGGATCTCTCTCTCTCTCTCTCTCTCTCTCATGACAGGGCTTGCCATGTCACCCAGGCTAGCCTTGAACTCTCAATCATCCTGGCTCCTGGGAGCTAGTACTACAGACGTGCATCATTGCTACCAGCTTAGATTGCTGCTATTTTGCAAAGATAAATTTAGCCTCTAACCATTCAGCAACTTGCTTCTCAATGTTAACACATTTGCTCTCTTTTCTGTTTTATGATACTCATTTTCTATTTCCACTGAATAGTTGTATTTTATTTCACTGAAAATCACCCAAATCTTTACTAAAGAGTTGGTCTTCTCATAGTAGCAGTAGTGCCCTCCATGATGGGGTCATCAACTGGAGAGTCTGCTGGCTCACTTAGGTGTGTGCAGGGAATGGGGCCAGGCAGGAAAGTGAGCAGGTGGTTCTATAGTCACAGAGGCAAGACTCCCTGGGGAGGGACACTCTGTAAGGCTGTGGGGACCCAGAAGGGGAAGTGGGCATTGTCATAGGTCATGAGGACAAGTGAAAGGTGTCCAGGCATATTGGGAGGAATATGGTCTCTGCAGTCATGTGGCAGCTGTGGGACTCGCACAAGTCACTGCCTATCCCTGAACTTGTGTCCTCGTGTGTAAGACATGGATCGTAACACACCCTTTGCCAACACCAGTGAGGATTAAGTGAAATGACATGTGGAGCACCTGGTGTATAGAAAAGTTAAAATAAAAAGGGAGCTATTAATATAATTGCATATAGGAGTGTGGTTAAGTGGCAAAGCTAATTGCTTGACTATCTGAAGGTCAATTAAAAAGCCTTTGGAATATTTCAGAAACAAAATGTAATTAAGACCCCTTCCTCCACACTCCGTCTGAATAGGGGTGAGACAGTGACTGCTTCATGGGTGCGTCTACATATGTGGAGGAGGTTTCAAAAGACCTCAAGGTGGAAGTTGCCAAGATGCACAGGGCTTCCCCGGTGCACACACAGGGGAAGTACAGTGTGAGGAGAAAGGGGACATGGGCTGCTGCTTCCTCTTTGGGATGGCGTAGGTTGAGGGGAGGAGGATTTCTCTCACACAGTGGCTTCCTCCATCAGTGATGTAAGTAGGGGTTTCCTGCCCTCTCTTGACCAGAGCCTCCATGGCGCTTGTGGGCCACTGTTCAAGTGCCCCAGGGATCAGTCCTTGCCATCCATCACTCCCTTGATCCAGTCCACGTAGTTGAGTACTTTGGTGTAGAAGCCATACCCCTTGCCACACCCGATGCCCCAGGATACGATGCCCGTGGCCACCCAGTGATGGGCATGATCATCCCACACCACATAGACGCTACCACTGTCCCCCTGGCAGACACTATTCATCTGCATCTTGTCCCCAACACAGAACATGTTGTCAGAAAAGACCTCTGTCCGCTGCCTCTCTTGAAGCCAGGCCTCACAGGCCTCCCGGGGAGCTATGGGCAGCCTTGAGTATTTCAACTGTGTTGTTAGCCAGCCCATGTCCACACCAAACCCGCTGACATAGCCCCACAGGCCACTGAGGTAGAGAGTCTCATTGTTGGGCAGACAGACTGGGAGGAGATTGGGGCCAAGAGGGACACTTTGCTGGAGCTCCAGGAGGGCGATGTCCCCGTTGAAACTGTGGGATTCATTCTGGTGGTAGTCTGGGTGCACGATGACCCGGCGGACAGGGTAGTTCCCCAGTTTCAGCATCTCTTCTATGTCTGTGTGGCCCAGGAACACTTCCACACTCTGGTTCCTCCTGAGGTGGATGCTATCCTTGGGGTAGATGGTGTGGGCAGCAGTGAGGATCCATCTGTCGCCCAATAGGGCTCCTCCCCCACGACCGTGGACACTGGTGAAGGCTTGCCAGGGGAAGTTGCCCAACTTAGCTCTGGAAGAACCATGGGTCTTCGGGTTCTGGGCAATGGGGGTGACTGGCCGTCCACAGACTGGGGGAGAAGAAAGATAAGGGGACCACCAGCAGCTGCACAGAGACACGCTAATTAAAGACCTACTTCTGCTGAGTGCTGTGGTTGGTGCATGAGGAAGATACGCCTGTATAGGGGGTCAGGACCTTACCTCAACACAGACCCACCAGTGTAGACCACAGGGACTGACATGAGCAAGGAATCAATCCTGACACCATGGGGCACATATCCTGCATGGGACTCAGGGCAGTGGGCTGAGGGGCGGGGGCACATGTTTGGGGCTGGCTCTGTGGGGCTTTCTATCCTCAGTCATCTTTAAGTCATTCTTTAAATCTTGGTGGAATCACCCCAGCCACACCATACTGAAAACAGAGTTTGTTTTCTGTGCCTTTTGCCTGCCCTTCGTCCGCTCCCACAACACGAGCCTTCAGGCTACCCCTAGGGTTTTCTGTAGATAAGATTGGGTTAAGAAGGTGATGCTTGATTGAAAAATATGGATTTCAAAAATGATGGACTTGAACCCTCATACTACTAGTGAGATGGGAAATAGTACGGCTGATGTGGAAGCAGTTTGGTGCTTCCCCCGAAAGTTAAGTTTACATGCCTCCGACCTGCCATCCCAGCTACTTGGGAGGCAGATTGGAAGTATGTTCCTATTGTATGTTCCTAGCAAGAGTGAGGCCCTCAATTCAGACCTCAGGACCTCAAAAATAAAATAAAAAAGAATGAAGTACTGTAACATGCTATAACATGGCTGAACCTTGAAAACATTATGCTAACGGAGAGAAGCCAGGCATAAAAGATCACATAGTATATGATTCTATTTGTAGGAAATGTCCAGAAGAGGCAAATTCCTAGAGAAGGAAAGTAGATTAGTGGTTGCCAGGGGATGGAGGAGGAGAGTTGGAGGTACTTTTATTTTTAGGGGAGGATAATGGAAATATTCTGGAATCAATGCTAATTCCACTGAATTGTGCACTTCAAAGAAGTTAAAATGATGAATTTTATCTCAATAACTTTTTTTTTTTTAAGCTGGAGGGCTAGAAGTGTAGCTCAGTGAAACACTGAGTGCTTGCATGCATGAGACTCTGGGTTTGAACAGCACTGGGGAGGAAAAAAAAAGTAGGGCTCTGCTCCGGTATGGCATGGCATCTGGGAGGAGTGATTTTGGGTGGTCAGAGAACCTGTCTGCATCCTTAAAACATGCCACACGCAGAGAGCTACTCTTCTACCCTTCTTCCTTCCACTTGGCCACCTGACTCATTTCCTTCATGGTTTGGTTTACTCAGACATATCTTGACCCTTGGAGAATGAGGGAAGAACTCCTTGCCTCTTCTTTTCTGGATCTTCTTTGACAGTGTTGGTGTTTGAACACAGGGCCTTACGCTTGCTATTCAGGTGCTCTACCACTTGAGCCACACTCCCCACACTTTCTGGCTTTGTTGATTGCCCCTTTCCTCCTCACCTTCTGCTTTCACCTCCCCTTTCAATCCCAAGGCTTCCTTTCACCTCTGTGTCTCACGGCTGCCAGTTATAGCCAAGGCTTGCTGGGAGAAGTGGCCATGAGAACAGCACTGGGCAGGTAGCTACTCACCAGGTACACAAGGAGGAAGTTCCTTCCTATCCTGTCTGTCCTTCCAGGTCCCCTTGGCAGGGCAGCTGAGTGACTCTGAGGAACAAAATGAGGGGAGGCAAAGTAGCAGGTAGAGGATTGGAGAGTGTTGGGCCTCGGAGAGCCTCAGGACTTTGGGTGGCAGTGAGGCCAATGCAAAGTGCTTCCTGAGCAGTGGGGCACTCACCGGCTGGTACTGCCTGATAATAGGGCTCCTGGCAGTGATTCTGGATCTGGGAGGGGTTGGGTCCAGGTGTGATGATGGCCTCAGAGTCCCCACTGGCCTGGCCGATAGGCTGACTACAGCTTACAGCTACAGGACAACAGCAGTTATTAGGCTACACACAGAATGCAAACTGGCAACTCATGGACTGATGCTGGCCATGGCTGTGTTTAGTTAAACCTGCACAATGCTTTCTAAAAAACATTTGAAGCTGGCATGATGGCACATGTCTGTAATCCCAGCATTCAGGTGGCTGAGGCAGGAGGATCTTGATTTCAATACCAGTTTGGGCTATGTAGTGAGACCCTGTCTCAAATGACAACAACCACAAAATCCAACAAAAACAACTCTCCCTGCAAAACCAAAACCAAAAAAGTCCCTAAAACAAATAAACCCCCAAATCCCAGACCAAGAAGCATTTGAACTAGTTTTCACTGATCAGATTTTTACTACTCAAAGAATATGAAAACAACTATGACAAGTAGCGTATGAAGAAACAGGGTCTGCCATACATGGCTGGTGGGAGTGCAAATGGGAAGGAAATTTAGCAGTTTTAAAATAAAAAAATGTAGATGTTGGGCTGAGGATGTAGCTCAGTGGTAAAGCATTTGCCTAGTGTGTGTGAGGCTCTGGGTTTGATCCTCAGCACTGCAAAAAATATGCAAATGTCCTTTAGCCTCGTGTTTCAGTTTCTAAGAATTTACCCAAAACATAGTCTCACACATGCACTGAAAGATACACATGCAAAAATATCCACAGCCCCACTGTTTATGACAGCAAAATATCTATTTGTGGAGGGCTGATTAAATCCTAATATTAAGACATATCAATCAAAGGGATATTATTGTCATTAAAAAAGAATGAGTCAATGCTAATCACATGCATATGAAATGGTCTTTAAGACACAATGGGTAAAAAAATGCTTGGTTTAGAACATTCTGTGTAGTATGCAACACATATACACACTGACACACTCACTCACACAATTTATCTCTGAAGGGAAGGTATGGAATATCTTGGAATAATACCAAGGAAACAGAGAGTAGGTTGTTTTTGGAGAGGGTAACCAGGAACTTAGGGAGGGCCAGAGATCAGAGGAAGATTTGCTTTTTTTTTTTGTGGTTTGAGCTCAGGGCCTCACACTTACAAGGCAGGTGCTCAACCACTTTCGTTATTTTCCCAGCCCTTTTTGCTTTTAGTTATTTTTCAGATAGTTTCTTGAGTTTTTGTCAGGTTGGCCTCAGAACTCAATTCTTCTATTTATGGCCTCACAGGTAGCTGGAATTACAAGCGTGTCTCATGACACATAGCTTATTGGTTAAGAAGGGGGCCTCCCTAACTTTTGTCCTTGGGCTGGCCTTGAATTGTGATCCTCCCAATCTCTGCCTTCCTAGAAACTGGGATTACAGGCATGTGCCATCACACCTGCATTCTTTTTAAAATTTATTATGTGCAAGTATTATCTTTAAAAAAACAATTTGAGTCACTATTTGAAAATCCAGAATTTCACTTACAAGTTTGGATTTTTGGCTTCTCTTGATGTGTAAACCCTGGATCTGTAAATTCGCCTAGAAACAATGGCTGGAGTGGAGCACTGGCTGTCTCTTAATTGGGCTGCTCGCCAGTGGGGTCAGGCCTGGGGCAAGAAAAGGTCCAGGTGTCCCTGAGCCCCCAGCCTCAGCTGTCATGCAAGCTTCTAGTTGTGTCTTCAAGATACTAAGGGCCAGAGGCTCTCTCCCTGCACTCCCCAGGAAAGACACTCACCCACAGCTTGGTAGAGGGCCAGGAAGCCCTTGTGAAGAGGGACAGTCTTGTCTTTGGAGGAAGAGTGTGTCCAGAAGGTCAGCCGTAAATTCCTCCCTGAAGACACAAACTCCCAGTGACCAGGGAGGCTGCCCAGAGGGGAGCCCAGTTTACCACAGAGCCGGGTTGGATCCATCCCACTGCCTGAGATCTGAAAGGGAGAGGTGGAGTGAGGGAACAGGTGTGGGGTGACTCTGCACCACTGGTGGTCACAGGGTCACATCTGTCATGACACCAGCTCATCTATGTCTCTGGGACTCTTCCTCACGTAGCTTCTTGTCCTTTCATTGACTCCTGAGTTTCTTCCAGAATGACCACATACCAGAGCCTACCATAACTACCTTCACCACCCTTTCCTTATTTTGAGATGCTCCTTGGGAGCCTTCAGTTCCTGCAAAGGTCACTGGACTGTAAGTTCTAAGAAGAGAATATGTCTGCTTTGCTCACCATGGAGTCCCTGATGCTCAATCTGGTGCCTCTAGCACCACAGCTGAATCAGACAGAAGTCCCTCTTCAGTACCTTCTCCCCCTTTCCACCCCTTTCTGTCCCATCCTATCACCTTCCACTTTTCTGAGTAACTTTTTGAGCCCATCATCTGTGAAGCAATATGACCCTCTGCAAAGACTGAGTTCCTGGGCTCCCGGCCCTTTCCGCTTCTCCTTTTGGGGCACCCCTCTTTCCCCATGAACTCTATATGAAGTGCCTACAATGTGTGAGAATCTAAGGACACAAAACCTACACTGTGTATGTATGCTGGACGTTCTGTTTAACTTGCTAAGATTTTTTATTCTGGTGCTGAGGATGGAACTCAGCACACATGCTAAGCATGTGAGCTACACCCCTAGTCATTTGGGTTTTATTTTGCTTTTGACAGAGTGAGGGAAGATAGATAGGTGAGGAGACAGGGAAATTATACTATTTTTTAATAAATATTAAAAGGGCCAGAACAGTTAGCCCCTCCAACTTTCTTTTAGATGTTAAATTACAAGAGTAGGGAGACTTAAAGGGACTGTCTGCATTTGCCTTCCTCTTTGAGATGTTTAACAATTTGTACCAGCTCTTTGGATGGGTAGAGGGTCAGAAAAATGAAAGGCATGTGTGGCAAAGGGAAGTCCTAAAACTCACCTATTATCCCTGTGTTTTAGGTGAGCCTAGATGACATCTCCAGGTTTTAAAATAATAAACAATACCCATCTTGGGGACCAAGAACCAGTGTCTCATGATTATAGTGTGCTAGATGACATGACCACATGTCCCCAGCTGGGAAAGTATAAGACTACAGATGAGAACCATCAGTTATAGGAAACTACCTATTTCCTGCATGGGGAGCAGGAAATGATCCCCCCCATTTCTCCCTATTTTTATCTGCTTATACTAAATAAATCCGTGATAAAACTTCCACCTTGTGAGAATCTCTTTTCTGTATGAGAGACACCTTGAAATTCTTTTCATGTTTGTGGATCTCAAGCACCTTTGGTTTTTGTGTCAAACCTGGGAATCTGAAGGGAAACCCCTCTTCCGGTAACAATAGTGTCTTCTTACCCCAGAGACGACTCATTTTCAGTCCACTGAAAGGGTATTTCTAATAAACTTTACTGTCATTTTCACTACATTTCTGCATCTGCATCTTGCCTGAATTCTTCTCTCGCTAGATGCAAAGACTGAGGTAGATAGCAGAGATAACTTTTCCAGTAACAATAAGGTCTTGCTAACTTTGCTTGGGCTGGCCTTGAAATTTCAATCCTCCTGCCTCTGCCTCCTGAATGGCTGGGATTGTAGGTGTGAATCACCAGGCCTGGGTCAGCCCTTGGTTTTTGAGACAGGGTCTTGCTGTGTAGCCCAGGCTTGCCTCAAACTTGAGATCCTCCTGCCTCAGCCTCCTGAGTGCTGGAAGTACAGGCATGACCCACCATATCTGTCACATGGTAAGTTCTTAAAGCAAGTTGTCTTTAAATCCCCCATCTGCAAAACTGGAAACCAACACACATCAAGCAGGTTCTCAGCACAGAAACCAGCGAAGTTTCAGGAACTGGACCCAAGAACCCTTGAGAACAGGGGTGAGGGAGGGACTGATAAGGGGTCAACAGACAGAAGGCCTGTGTCAGAAGACCTCAGAATGCTAGATCCTTGTGTCCACCTTGTACTTCCAGACAACTCTTTCTGGCTTGCCCTGGCAGAAGATGTGAACTTGAACCAGAAACCCTGGAATTGGGGGCCACTTAATGGAGGGGCAAAGGCCAACAATGAAAACAGAGGGGTTAAGTGAAAGTCTAACAATCACACAGTGAGAGGCATATCCCTCCCTGTGCCCTTTCCTAGCTTGTTTATAAAATGCTGGGAGGCTTGAGCAGGAGACTGGAAGAACCATCTCTGGGAAAACTGACTGTTTCAAAGCAAATACTTCTACACGTGGACATTTGGGAGACTCTCAATAGCACCTCTAGGTCACCTTGTTGCTAAACTTATGCTATGGTTTGAATGTCTACTCCAAAATTCATGTTGAAATTGTCATTGTAATGGTGCCAAGAGGTGGGACCTTAAGAGGTAATTAATGGGTTAGTGCCTTAATTGTAGGAGTGGATGAGTTATTGCAGGAGTGGGTTCCTGATAAAAAGGATGAATTAGGCTCAATTTTTCTCCATGCTTCCTGCTTCCTCCATGCTTCACTTGCCCTTCCACCATAGTAGGACAAACATGAAGGCTCTCTCCACCACCACATGTCAGTGCCACACTCTTGGACTTCCCAGACTCCAGAACTTCTGTTGTCTGGAAATTACCCTATCTGTGGTATTCTGATATAGTAGCAGAAGATGGTACGAGACACCTAATTTTCAAAACCATCATTTGACAAATTTTAGTTTTTTTACACAGAACTTCAAATCAGCATTTTAGTGCTTCACTCTTCAATATGAATGGACAGGCAAATATCAGACATTGCAGGAATGTCTCTAAGACAAAAAAGCAAAGAGACAGAGACAGACAGTGAAAAGAAACTTGGATGAAGTAGTGATACTACAGGGAACAGAGGAAGCATTTAAAAATAATCCCAGCACAGAGGAAAGAGTAGATATTGCAATTGTGGAATAAAAAAAAAATATGGTATAAAAGGCACATTTGGAAAGTAAGAATGAGCCCTTAGAAATGAAATAGTATGTCAATAGAAAGAAATCATTAACTGAAAAGTTGGAACTTAAAGGTGAGGAAATCAGGACTGGGAACAAGCTAAGTAGCAGGGTGCTTGCCTAGCATGTGTGAGGCCCTGGGAAAGAAATGATGGAGAAATCTTCCAGAAAGTGGAACAAAAAGATGAAAGATGGAAGAGAAAAGAAAACAAAACAAGAGAATCAGTCTAGAACACACAACAGCTGTATCATAGGCATTTCAGAAAGAGAAAAATAAAGAAAGCAGGTATCTAGAAATTATTAAAGAAAGAATGCAAGATCATTCTCAGAATTGAAGGACTGGATTAAAAGTCTCTAGATTAAAAGAAGCCTAAACAATAAGTAAAAAAAAAAAAAAAAAAAAAAAAAAAAAACAAGCAAAAAAACCCCCAAAACCATCTGTACCATGACACATAATGGTATTCTAGATAGAAAAAAATGAAGGAATGACAGTGATGACATCAGACCTCTTAACAGCACTAGAAATAGAAGTCAATGTCATCAAAATTCTGGAAGAAAATGGCTTATGGTCTGGAATGTTATACCCAGATACTATGGGGCAGAACTAACGCATTTGGGGACATGTATGATCCTCTAGCTTTCTAAAGAAGCTACTGAAGAATGTGCTCATCCAAAGTGAGGGAGTAAACCAAGAAAGAGAAAGACATGGGATTCAGGTCCAGCACACAACAGGTAAAGGACATCTCTAGGAAGAGGGAGATCAGATTTCTCAGAATGTGGGAAGGCCAAGAGAGCAAAGAACCCCAACTACAGAAAGAAATCAGGAAAGCCATCTTTAGGAAGGATGCTGTCAGCTGCAACAACAACAAAACAACAGCAAAGGACTGATAACAGATCAAGCTTGAGTATTTTGGGAAAAGATCTGCACTCCTGGCAAAGAGTTTGGGGACGTTAGTTACTAAGTAAACTAAAAGACAAAACCAAATCAAACAACTGCTCCAAAGAACTTATGCCATAACTCACTCCTGAGAAAACTGGAGAAGAAAGGAAACGTTAAGTACTGTAATGTGCTCGGGTGTGAATGTTATATAGTCAAAGTTATGTAAACAATGAACTGGTTTTACTAAAAATGACGACATAGGTATACAGGATCGTGGGGGAGGGGAAATGTGGGTGATGAAGGTCTAAGACATCGCCTTCATCTTCTGTAGTTGAAGTTAAGAAAATGAAAATGAGAAATCATGAAAAATGATTAATAGACTAAAATGCAAATTGAATGGGCTAAGCATGTTATTTGTACACATGTAGATAAATGCCAGCTGAAACAACTGAATTGGGAATGGCTGTCCCTGGGGAGCAGTAATGGAGGACAGAGTAGGCTGAGACTATTGTTTCACATTAGAAGCCTTGTGAAGGACTCTGATTTTTAAAAAATTATGTGCCTGTCATGTTTTTGTACAAAGAAAATTTAACCCAGAAGATAATGTAAAGTACTGTTTTAGAAAATGCTCTTATTTTGATTAATGTCCTTGCCATAAGAAATGTGTGCTAAGACTAAGGTGAGCCTGGTCTTAACTTGATACTTACTCTTTTGTCATCATTTATGTCCACCTTCCTAACCTGCTCAACAATACCTGATGTGTGATGTGAGTCCCTGCTCTTTTACCCTATAGATTTGCATTATTTGTGTCTCCTTTCATAAGTTTTCAAAATGCAAGGCCTGTTCTGCTGCCCTCTCTCTTGCTCTGTGGGGACCCAGATAGTAGTGAGGGACAGAGATGATGGTGGGAGTCCGGGCACTGGACACTGTCACTTCCCAGGAATGCTGGGCTCCATGGCCCCTGACTTGGGCTCTTCATCCCTGGTTTAGATGGGTGACTTAGGGAACAGCCATCCCCCACTGCCCCTGGGAGGCTCTCTCCTCAGAGTCCCTGTGGGATTTCCCTCCCCCGCCCCCAGGCCAGCTCACGGTGACAGAGTCCCCTTCACAGGCTGGAGACGGCTCTAGGTCGAAGTCCTGAAAGACCAGCCTCACAGAAAAGCCTTCTGGAGCTTCAATGTCAGTGCTGGTCTCTTGGCCTTTAAGATATGGCTTCGGGTACCCAGGGGATGTCAGATGCTGGGGTAGCTGCTGGGCCAAGAGCACGGAGCCTTGTGTAGGGCAAGCCTGAAGGACTCCCCAGAGAAGCAACCAGCACCTGTGAATCGGGGAGGGCAAGATGAGGGCACACAGCTAAGGCCTGAGGCCTGTGGATATTAGAGGGGTGGGGGCAGGAGATGCTAACGAATTTAGAGACCTCGAAAAAGCAGGGGTCAGCAGCTATGGCCTCAGCCCTTCACCCCATCCCTACAGTCTCCTATTTAGCCTAAGCTCCAGGACTGTGAGCTTTCCACCCCCTGAAGATCCCCCTGTTGTTCCTCTCCATGGTGAGTCTCATCCAAACCAGAGGGCTGTCTTCTGCTTCAGCCCATTCCAACTCCACCCTGGGTACAAGCGAAAGACATTCAGATGTTTCCTGGGTCAGAGCAATGAGACAGACCACAACGGAAGAGATTGCTAGAGGCCACAGGCAAATTCCAGTTTCCATTCCAGTTTCCTCTGGATTCACTGCTCTCCCCGCCCCACCCGCCCCCCGCGTGTGTGTGTGTGAGTGTGTGTGTGTGAGTGTGTGTGTGAGTGTGTGTGAGTGAGTGTGTGTGTGTGTGTGAGTGTGTGAGAGAGTGTGTGTGAGTGAGAGTGTGTGTGTGAGAGAGTGAGTGTGTGCGCACGCGCGTGTGTCTTGCTACCCCTCTTCTGCCCTTTCTTCCTCCAGGCCCCTCTGCAGGGCACACTCACATCTTGCCTGGACAGCTTGTGGAGGGAGGGCTTCTGCAGAGAGAGTTCCCCCTCTCTGAGACCAGGCATCTGGAACCGGACATCTGGAACCTGCTAGAAGACTTGGCTCAAGCCAGGGAACAGGAGGTGGTGCTGGAGGAGGCAGTGTGGGGAGGAGGGAGAGGTTACTGGAAATGAGTTAAGTAACTACCCCAGTTCACTTTTTATAATTCTCTGGATTGATCGCCACCTGCCGTCCAGTTGAGGAATAGCTTACCCACCACAAGTTAGAAGAAAAACAATCTCCAAAACTATGCTGGCGCTCAGAGATCAGGGTGGGAGGGCACTGACTCTTGACTCTTTTGTACTATTCAAAACTAAATTTTACCATGTGTGTGTATCCCATGTGGTATGAGGGCTCCTTTGTGTTGGTTGCTGTCTTTAAGGGCAGTTATCTCTCCCTCCATATTCTTCTCACTCATTTACATTGCCAGTTGCCCCTTGTAGAACTTGGTTTGTGACCCATGATCTTGAGCCTCTCTTTCTTGTCCTTCCTCACCAAAGATAGGTGGTGCTCACATTGCTTAGACAGTCTTTTGAATCCCACCACCACATCTGAAGGCTTCTTGTCCAGCAGGGTCAGAGCCATGGTCCATCACAGGTGTTCCAGAGCCTTCAGGGACTCAGCTCAGCTGTTACTCAAGCTTCCTTAGGTAGGTACCAGGAGCCACAGATGAAGTCAGGGGGCTCCCTCCCAAAACCCCCAGGAAGGACTCAGTCCTGGCTTGGCAGGGGCTCAGGAAGCTTTTTTGGAGGTGGGTGGTTGTGTCTTCAGAGTTGCTGAAGGTCTTACATTCTAGACACACACACACACACACACACTTTTTGAGAAGAATCTGCTGTTTCCTCCATTTTACATGTAGAAACATGGCTCGTCACAAAGGCAAAAAATTATAGACTGAAACAGAGTATGTTCTGGGTCTTTGGTTTTTCCATACTAAAAATGTTCAGAAAAGCCACAGTCCATGACTGCAAGGTGGTGGTCAAGACATTCTACTCCATCTGGCATACGCCACCCCCGAAACACACCTGAGGGTAATCTCCATCTTTGAGGAGTGGGGCCTCTGGCTGGAATTTTTTCCCTCCCCAGAGAGCACTGAAGCCTGCCTTGTCATCTAACTCTTAGGGTTACACAGAGCACCTGGGAAGAGACAGGGTGAACAATGGTGCTAATTCCCATCTGCTGTGAAGAAGCCAGCTACAGCTCAGCTAAGGTGGGAGTCTCCCCTTAGTCTCCCCTGATTTCCTTGACAGACTGTGAGGGACAGGACTGTACTGTGTTCCTGAGCTTGTACTCCATTCTAAAGAGGGGTGGGAACCCGAGTAACTAGGCTAGCCCATTAGAGAAGATATTCTTGGAGATATTCTGGAGGAAGGAAGGAGAAAGGCCTTGAAAGGAAACTGCAGGGCAGGCAGGAGGGCCCACTGTTTGATTTGCAGAGAACTGAGGGGTTTCCTGGGACATAGGGCTTTCATTTTTAAAACAGGAAGTTCTGCACAAACCAGGACAGTTGTTCACCTTACATGGACAGGGGTAAATGTGCTGGGGGGAAGCTGGGTGAAAATGGACAGGAAGCCAGAAGAGTGAAGAGACAGTGACATCTGTGGCTGGTGACTAGGGCAATCCAGAGCCTGCATATAGCGGTCCCTGTGTTGAGGACTCCAACACTTTGAAATGTGCCTTGGTCCTACCTATGTAGCATGACTTCAGTGTGTGTTGGGGTCAAGGGGAGGAAGCCTCCAGGGACTTGGGACTGGAAAAGGAGCCTGATGGCTATGTTTGTAGCTGGTGACTGCAGATTGCTGTGGGCTGGGGCTGGGCAGCTGTGCCCCTGTGTCCTTTTCAGCACCACCTCCCCTGCTCTGGGGCCTCTTTTCTAGCTGGCAGGGACATAGAAGTGGCTATTACTCTATAGTTTCTAGCTGATCAGGAGAAGCAGAGGGAGCTGCTCATGGAATTATGGCATTCATGCAGACATGGGCTGTTCAGGGCTGGCCCTGTATGGGGTGGCACCTTTGTTCGTGTTTGGGAGAGGGAGGAGATGGAGAGGATGAGAAGTTAATGGTGAGGGTTCTGGAGCTGTTAGAAGGGGAACAGTGTGAGTGAGGGCTGGTATTCCTTCTCTAATTTCATCAAAACAGGAGGCTTTTGCTCACCTTTATCTGGGTGGGGTCATGGGTAGGTCTAGGACAGGCTGTGAGGGCTGCAGCTCTGAGCCACCCCCTGAGCTACAAGCTCTATAAGTGGGTTTTCCCGGTCATTGTGTAATGCCTGGCTCATAACCAGGTTGGAAGCTACTTGAGTACATCAGCTCTTTCTTCCTTTGTTCCCCTAAATGATGGATGCATGGGAAAGACTCCAAGACATGTAGCTAAGACTAGAAATTTCTGAACTTATATTTGAGCTATTGTTCATCTAAGATAGTTTGCAGTTAAAATTAAGCCAAGTTAACTATTATTTGGAAAAAAGCATATCAATGCTCTTTGGAGAAATATCACAGAACCCACGTTTATCTTTATTGTTAAATAATAATAACCATTCTATGGTTTGTGTGTGGTCTCCGAAGTTCATATGTTGGAAACTTAACCCCCAAATTCATATATTAATGGTATGTGGAGGTGGGGGCCTTTGGGAGACACTTAGGATTAGATGTGGTCATGAGGTCATCATGGCATTTGTGGATTTATAAGAAGATGAAGAGAGACCTGAGCTAGCACACTTCTCGGTCTTGACATGTGACACCCTTCACCAGGTTATGATGAAGGAAGAAAGTCCTCATCAGTGGCCCAGCGGAGTAGGAGCTGTGTTCTTGGACTCCTCAACCTCCAGAAATGTGAGAAATAAATTTCTTTTCTTTATAAATTACCCGGTATTTTGTTATAGCAACATAAAATGGTCTTCTGTTAAAGCAACAAAAAATGAGCTAAGAAACACTGTGTCTAGGATACAATCCACAATTACTCAAGCTATCAAGAAAGAGGAAAAACAAACCATGCTCATGGGAAAAGACAGTTAACAGAGACAGCCCTCTAAATGTTGGAGTCAGTACACAAGGATTTTAGTACATAAAGATGTAAAGAAAAATGTGCTCATGATAAAGAAAACAGATAGGAAACATCCACAGAGAAAGAGAAACTTTCACAATAACCAAACCTAAATTGTAGAACTAAGAGTGCAATGTATGAAGTAAAAGAGTTCACTATAAGAGCTTAAGAGAAGAATGAAGATGGCAGTGAACCTGAAGACAGATGAATAAAAATGACCCCACCTGAAGAACAGAGAAAGACATTTTTTAAAGTGAACACAAGCCAGGTGTGGTGGTGCACATCTGTAATCCTAGCATTCAGGAGGTTAAGGCAGGGGTTCCTGAGTTTGAGGCCAGCCTGGGTTGTAGAGCAAGACCCTGTCTCAAAATAAAATAAAATAACCAGAAACTCGGGGACCTGTGGCAAAATATTTTTAAAAACTTGAATATATCTATTCTTGGAGTTTCAAAAGGGGAGAGAGAGAGAGAGAGAGAGAGAGAGAGAGAGAGAGAGAGAGAGAGAGAGAGAGAGAGAGAGAATAATGCAGAAAAAATAGTCAAAGAAATAAGAAATAGTGGCTGAACTTTCCTAACTTTGGTGTAACGATGTGAGATATATATTTTCAGATTCAAGAAACTCAGCAAACTAAAAGCAGAAATAAAAATTAAAAATATTGTCAAAGTGCTAAAAACCAAAGATAAAAGATGTTGAAAGCAGTCAGATAGAAAGGACACACTGTGTACAGAGAACATCATTTTCAATGTTACTGTTTTCTCATAAAAAATGATACACACCAGAAGACAGTGAAGTATCTTTAAAATGTTGAAAAACATGTCAACGCTAGTTGCTTTTTATTTATTTATTTTTATTGATTAACTTATTTTTGTCAATACCGTTGTGGTTCTTAGGAAGGTGGTCCACCACTTGAGTCATGACCCCAGCCCACTCTCAAGTGTTTCTCTAGTGAAAGTATTCTTCCTGAATGAAGGTGAAATAAGGAGCTTTTCAGATAAAAGAAAGTAGACTTTGTCATCTGCTGATCTGTACCGTGGGAAGTGCTGAAGACAGTTTTTCAGGCTGAAGGGAAATGAAACTCAATGGAAGAGCAGAGACATCAGCTTCTGGACTAAAGAGAAATGATAAATTTGTAGGTAAATATAAAACACATCTTTTTCCTTAATGTCTTTAAAATACATGTAACCGTTTAGGGGAGAATTCTAACACTACTGTGTGTTTTCTACTTATGTAGCTGTAACCCAGGTAAAGCTGTAGCATAAAGGATAAGGGGTGGATACATGGGTACACGGCTCCCTCATGTTACGTGAAGTGGCACACCATGGATTTGTAGGAGTGACAAGTGAAGGACGTGTACCATGACTCCTAGTCAGTGGTTCCTTGCAGAGTAGTGCTCTCTACACGTGGTGTGGGAAGCCCTGGGGTCCTTAAGTTCCGTTCAAAGAGTCTATGAGGTCAAAATGATTTCCACAAAACCCTAAGATGTTACTTGCTTTTCTCTTTCTCTCATTCTCTCATGAGTATACAGTGGAGCCTATCAGTAGCTGTGTGATGTGTGAGGACTCATCCATCCCTTGATTACTAACAGAATGTGTGTTGTGTGTCTTTGTGTTTTAAATCTTTCTGTTTTAATTTCAAATACGGTGAATATTAATTGATAATATTATCAGTTACATAAGCAAAAACTCTTTGGGGTTCTCAATACTTTTTGTTTGTTTATTTACTTGTGATGCTGGTGATCAAACCCAGGGCCTTATATATGCTAGGCAAGCTCTCTACCACTGAGCTACGTCCCCAGCCCATCATTAATCCTTTTCTTTTCTTTTTTGCAATACTGGGACTTGAGCTATGGGCCTACTTGAGCCACTCCACCAGTCCTTTTTTCGTGAAGGGTTTTTTTGAGATAGGTTCTCGAAAAGTATTTGCCTGGGTCTGGCTTTGAACTTGATCCTCCTGAGTGTTGCCTCCTGAGTAGCTAGGATTACAGGTGTGAGCCACTGACACCCAGCCTGTCGTTAATTTCAGTTTATGAAGTTTGAGAACAGCTACCCTAGGCAACATGGAGTAGGGGGAG